TAATAATTATATCTACTATTATTTCATCTTATGATGAGATGATGCTGCCAATTGGTTTTGTGTTCAAGTATAATGTTGCGATACCATTCCAGTAATATAACCCCGCAATAACCCATTATTACTTTTTAATTTCTATATTAGTATTTAAAAGTAAAACATCATTGCCTAGTATTTAAAAATTCATTATAAACGCATTAATTACCTTGTCGATCATGACAAAATAATTGCCTCGAACATAAACATGCAAATTAAAATTAATTATATGTGTTATTATAATTATTACAACTTAATTTACTTGAATTTTAATTAATTTTTTCCTAAAACCAATAACAACTTTTAGTTATTATTTATGTGTTCACTTTACCTAGTCGACTTATATATCTATGTACAAGTGCAGTTAATAACGTGGCAGATTTATATTACAGGTTTTTATTTTATTATTTTTTAGGTAAACTCTTAGCCGTATCGGTTGAGTATTTTTTTATAGTGCACTCATCATTTTTCGATTACTCTTCGGTATGATGTAATGTTCTCATCCAAACGAGGATGACATTTTTTTTATGTATACAAGAAGAGTCATCGAATACACTTGAATTAAAAATATTATTTAATAACATGTTTTTCTATTAGAGTCCAGATGGTAAGCAGCACTAGAGAGATAAAATTTTATAACTGATGTCAATTTAAACGTTATAGTTTTTAATAAGTTTTTGTAACATGGTTAAATAATTGAATCTGCAAATCACTCTGTACAAAGTATTAGTGCACTAATTCAACTTGATCAAAGTGTCAAGTGAACTTTTATTGCTTTATCGAAAAATTAAAAAAAAAATCATTGTGATACTAAAAATGTATAGGACATTATTTATAGTGATTTGATTTTGATTTTAATTTTAGATGCTATTTATTTTTTTTTACATGTGTAATTCAAATTTTTTTTTTATATCATAAATAAAACGAAAATACCAATTGCAGCATTTTATGGTAATTTTACATGGTAGGCGGTGAACATATATTTTGTATTAAGGAAACATTAACAATATATTGTTATTTTATTTATGATTGTGAAATGGCCGAGTTCAATAGAAATTTTACTGTCGCCTTAGAGTTTTATGAAAACGTTGAAATAAAATTCTTGTTGTTACCATTGGGCGGTGGTGAGTGTACAATTTCACTTTACGGTTTCTTTAAAATTGAATTCTTCAACTCCAAACTACTTACGGAAGAGATCTGTATAGGTAGTAAAACCGAAAACAATTTATTTCGCCTTTGTCGTGTATTTTCAAACCACTTAGATTTGTTTTACTGTCGACTGTGTACAAAACTGATTGTTAACAAAATATATATGTTTTAGGAATTTACAATAACTAGAGCAATGTCTATTGTATCATATAACTTTAGCAAAAAAATTCTTGCTTGTGAGAACTAGGTTTTTTTTTATCGAGAACAATTTTTCAACCATTATAAATATCATATTGTTATAACCATAATAATAATAATATAATTATGATATGGTATCATATCTTATCATAATTTTGTCATAACATGGTCATGTTATAAGGTATAATATGGTCATAACCATTATAAATAATATGGTTAAGAATAAATAAAATATTATTGTCTTTGAGTGATTTCTATTGGCGTTTAATTTATTTTATCTAGAGAATCGCAACGAAGCGTTAAAAAAAATTGTTCTTTATTTTATATTTTTAATATAGGTATGTTATAGCGAGTAAATGCATTTGGTCCCAACTACATGCATTGGATTATTGCTATTTAACATTATTTATGTCAAGTTATTCGCCGTATGATATTATGTTTTTATTTCCAAATTACCTCCAAGAATTTGTATACTTAAAAATGACAATGGTCTCGGTCTCTCAGAACAGCTATACGCGTTTACTTAGTAATAACGACGTTGATTTTTTTTAAAGTAAAAAAAAAGTAGAAATAGTGTATATTTTTTTAGACACTTAATTGAAATCCATTTGTGGGCGCGGTTGGCTTTCTGTGCGGTCAACGTTTTGGCATTATTATATTGTACATGTTGTAATATTATGGTATTATGTATTATTGCGAATGTGTATTCCCGTCAGAATTTAATTTGCTCAGACACAGAGGCACGTATCAACTGGTTAAATAACTCACGTCCGACGGCCTATATCGTTGTAATATCAATTACGGTTTATATGTATAAGCTTTCAGCACTGAAATGGTCTATTTTATACTTTACAAACAACGATTGCAGGACAGTAAACAATAATTGATAGTATCAAATTTGGTCTCTAGAAACTTTGAATCATGACATACATTATTTTTTTAACATCCGCCGCTGTCGACCGATTCTTGGCTACACCACTAATATTTAATAATATATTATTGTTATACATCAGTGTTGATACGTTGTATAGGCACGAACTCTGTAATTTCACGGTCGAAACGACAAAATTATTTATGGAAAATAGAAAACCGGGCTTATGCAGCCCATATTAAGGTACATTATGCCGTTTTCTCCCAAGGAGGAAGGTTCCTTTGACGAATTCGCTTTGTCTTCAGTGTCGAATTCCTTTTTTGAGCTAATAATCGTTCAGTCGGTTTCATTACCTCGTCAAATGGTTCTCTAAAGAGGTCAATTCTCTCGAATTTTAAGGGGTTAGCTGCTCTGTTCACTTGACGGTTTGCCGGCCAGCAAACAGATAACCATTCAGTTGATCTGTATAAAGATCTGTGTAAACATGAACGCCATTAGTAAATGCAGTAGGTATTGAAGTTTTTGAATACTATTTGAGATTCGCGTCGTCGATCTACCATTATAAGAAAATTATTATTTGCCATAAACACCACATAAGAGCTTAGTAAATGTAAATATCAAGTAAAGGGTCATGACCGTATTTTGTTACAATGCGACTTTGTTGTTGCTATTTTGGAGAAAATACAACATTATAAATATATTTGTTATGTCATGCACTAAGCAACTCGCTTCTCTCATCCGTCTCCAATTACTAAATTGTGAAATTCCGAAAGCCCTGTTTATGCGGTGTAAAAAGCTTTTTAACGTAAATATACATTTTACTTATAAACAATAATAATAATAATAATCCAATACAATAGTATGTCATTTACAATCTACGACGTGAATTGTGATGATATTATGAAACTTTTAGAGTAAAATTCCTTTATTCGTGTCACTCTTTGTAAGTGTTCAACACGTTTTCCCAAAAGAAACCTGATTGCTAAATGTCGCGCTTAACTTCGTTTGTTTTCTTTCAAACTCCATGAAAATATTATTATTCACTTCACTTTAAAACGTTCAAAAGTAAATAAAAAAAATTAAGAAAGGGAACATAGGATAGAAAAAAAATGAGAATACAGATAATTACAATTTAGTGTTTACATTGTAGTAATAATTATACTTTTAATTGAATAATTGAACGTGTCACGCCGTTTCTACAATATGTTTTAAGTCGTAGCTTAACAATTGTAATTTTTTGTATAATATTTCAAGACAAAAATAATTAAAACAATATGTCCTAAAACCAAATGAGTATTATTTCGAAGTAAACTCGATAGTTTGATTTCAAACCTCGGCCATTTTAATAAATCTATTTTTTATTTTAGTTCGAATGACAAAAGTTTACTTACAGTGGAATTATCCTATTTATTAATTTTTTTTTTTTAATGTCTGAAACTCTCCTCCGGGTTAATTTCCAGACGATTGTAGCTATTTTGTAATGTTTAAAACAAGTTTTCGGTGATAAGTGTGAGTGGAGGGAATATATTTGAAAGAGTGTGCCGGGTCCCAAACCCTATGTAGGGACTTTGTAGGGGAATTTGGACCACACTAAGGAGGAACCCCGATAAAAAAAAAATGAAAAAGTTTTACTGCGGGCAAGCGCTACAAAGTGGGCCATTGCAATAATGTTTCTACAGTAATGTTCAAATGCGGATTTCTGAATTTGAGTCGGTTAAAGTTGTTAACCTAATGTTTGCGCAAAGTCTGGACTTGTTAGGAAAACCAAACGTTATTGTCAAATTCACTGTATTATTGTTATACTACTTGTTAGGTTAGGCGCAGCTGTAATGTATGCAGTTGTGGTTAATGTAACAATATTACAGTCTCGTTAATGTAAATATATGCTCGGTACTTATCCGGAAAGTTATTACAACAATATTGCACCGAATTATGATATGTAATTCAAACATGATCTTTTCGACTAATCGCCAATAAAGTGCGTCACCCCGAAATCGGGTGGGTGTAGAGATTTAGACGAACCGATGATAATTATCATCATGTCGTACACTGTCTGTATATAATAATAAACGGTAGCAAAATATTACCGCACGTGCCATTGTGTTCAGCGATCCAGTTGAGTTGGCCAAATTTAAACCTAAGTCCAATATTTACGATTGTGATTACAAATTAACATTATGCCATCCCCCGGACATAGCTATTTCCCGGTAATTTAAAGTTTGGTAGGCCGGGCCGCGTTAATTTATGCAGTTTTCGCGTACAGTTGTTGCTTTTTCGAATATATACTTACTATATATATATATATATATATATGTAAATACATACAATTTCAAGATAAAAAAAAAAAAGAAGAGTAAACTAATAATTATTACTTTTACGATATCGTGCAATTATTTCAACGGGGTTTTTCAGTTTTAATGTTGGTTTTTTAGCTGTGATATTTATGGATTTTTGCCAATAAACAACGATTGAACATGTTAGTTATTATTGATAACATCACACTTTTGCCAATTCCGTTCTTATTTACAGCTTTATCGACGGACTGTTCTTTTTTATTTTTTACATAGTACATCAAATTTTTTTTTTTTTAATTGTTGTCGATTTAAAGAGAACCTTAAAAATCGAAATTCGGATGACCTCAAAGCACGGGCCTACACAAGCGACAACCGTCTAGATCTTTTCACAACCCGAGCTTGCCCGTATGTTCGATTATTAATATTATAACGTGATGTTTTATTTTTATTTTCAGCACCCTCGACAAACGTCTCTGCTGTATCCAGTGCATAGCAAACGGATCCGGCCTCAAGAGAAAATCATCACAGGTAACCACAGCTTTTGTTCAAAGTTCAGGCTCGGACGTGTCACCCATCCACCCTGAGACACATCCGAATAGACGTTGTTGTTGTTGGCTTTGTTGTAATATGTTTTCTGATCTTTCATTCAGACTGCATGACCGTGTGGTCCGAAGAGGGACATCTGTACTACAAGTCCACTACCAACGACCCGGTGGTGTGCGGCATTTACATAATAGCTAAGCCCGAACAAACCGTGCACGTGTACTTTGATTACGTGGACGTGCCGTGCAACTCGGGAGGACTCATAGCGGTATGTAGATAATAATATATATTATATATATACACAAACAACAACATGGTATAGGTGGTATTGTGACGAACGCACATTTCAGTGTAACACAAAACGAGAATATTATATTATGTAGACCCGTGCGATTTAGTATTTATTAAACCGTTTGCCCACGTGGCGCCTGTATCCACCGTGAGTTGTTCTGGCGACTAGGCGAGTAGGTTAGGTGGGTACGTATTATCACTATGGATTTGAGCAATTACTTAATTGGCCTCTGTACTGCGTAGTTAAATATTATCATTAGAATAAAATCCTACAACTATAATATGTGTATTTGTTTAAAGCGTATAAAGTGCGACTGAATGTGAATCGCAAAACATAGTTATCAAAAACTGATAGTGTTGGTTCTACGAGGATTTCCTAATTGAACATAGTACCTATGTTTGCTAATTTTCCAACAGGAGCTCCTAGCTGTTCAAAATATGTCCAATAAGGTTTGAGTATCTTTAGTCTGAAATGTTTAGACAAAATAATCCTTTTCTCTGCTCAATTAATAAACCTTTTGTAGGACTTATATATTATATTTGATGCTCAAAGTATAATGGTCGTTAAGTAACAAACTCGTACAATAGGTAATTGAATATTATTCTTCATTGTAATTATAATATCAAAAAATAAACAAACAGATAAAAGAGAAAACGGTTGGACAATTAGTCGAAACAGTGAAAACCATTTATCCGCTAGAAAGGAAAACTAAAAAAGGGGGAAAAAAGATACAACGTAATGTAAACATTTTACAAAAAATAAAAAAACAGACAACTGTTGCCCTCATAATAGCGTATAACCCAAATAATTGTAGATGTATTTGAAAGGGAGAACAAAGTGTTGGCAGAAAAAAAAACAACAAACAAAGGACACCCCGCAGTGCAGTAACTGGGTCGCACAGACAACAAACAGCATTTAATGAAAGTCCTTTGAAACGATTTATATGTTTCCAAAACTCAGAGATCCCGAAATTATATATATATTAAATTTTTGTTAAATTAAAATATACTGATATACATACATATTTTAAACAACAATACAAGGTGATTTTTTGTATCGTTAGCCAGTCAATATCTCAAACTGGTTAAATTAAAAATTTAATTTTTTTTTTCATAGTGTTTTTATATAATTTGATCTCAATTTTCTGCAAATATACATGTTCCTACCCTCCTCCAAAACTTATTTTTTTTTAATCAACTATTGAAACTTAAAAATAGTAACGCATACATTTCGTTAACTGTTTTAATTGAGAATAATGTACTAAACGCTTTGACTGTTCGATAACCAGTTTCGGATAACAGATAGTATTTTACAATCGTGTACTGTAAATGCTTAAACGTCTTGAAACTTACTGTTAAAATAAAAAAAAAATATATATATATGTATTATTGTGCTGTTAATCTGAAAATGACAACCTCGAATATTTTTTGAACTGGGTTGACAACCCTTGTCTGTTTTGTTTTAATAAATATGATTTAAAACAATAACACACAAGCTTGAGCTCTGTGAATATTGATCGAATCAACAGCAACGGTACAGAAATATCATTGTTCAATCTAAATCCGTAATGATTTTGTGTTGTATATTTTGTTTTGTCCACTATTGTCAACTTTGTTGTTACATGTTTCTTCTTTTAACATCAATCTGTCACTACTGCGTTCAACAATGGTAGTTGGCAAAACTCATTATGCTATTATTTGTCAATATATATATATTTATCACAGGTTCAGAGACTTCCGACTGAGGCGATCGTGTTACGGTATTGAAGTTTATTCGTGTGTACTTTTGTTTACTTGTACTTTAAATGAGGGCTACAAACGAATACATTTTATGAAGTGAGTGAACTTGGCTGACGTTGAACGAATCCTGTTATGTGTGTATTTGAGTGGAGCGATGGGAACAGAGCCTTTTCCATACGAAAAAGTAACCAAACAACTGTTATACAGTTAACATAATTGGGCTTGAGTTATCTTAATTGTTGTGGAAAAAACCTTTAAAAATAATCAACTGTTGATCATATTATTATTGCTATTCTGCAGTTTGTGGACGGATGGGAATTGAATGGACAGCTCTTCCCCAACGAGAACGACCATCCAAAGGCGACCGAAGACCGTTTCTACGAGATATGCGGTTCGAAGAGACCAAAACAGGTATTGAAATCTTCGCAAAACGCCGCTCTTATTCAATACCGAGTGCCACGCAGAGGCAATGGATTCAGTTTCTATGTGTCGTTCATTAACAACCCGACCCGTGAGTATATTATTATCATAGATTATGTGTTTAAGTCACGGACAGAGGGGCTGTATTGTTCATTACACTAGATAGGTGCGTGTAAAATTCAAAAGGGCCTTCACTTCAATTGCATATATTCTTTATACCGAAATAAGAAATTATATCGATATATATATATATATTTGTTTTGTGAAATATTTCCCAAACAATGTATTCGCAAATCTAATAAACTATAGAAAATATGTATTTATAAACTAAAAAAAAACCATGCAAATCAAATTAGTTGTTCACAATTCGTAAGTATCCCAACTCAATATTGTTAAAATTTTCAAGTCTTACAATAATTTTCCTTATTGTTTAATAACACAATTAAAAATTGATATTAGTACATGTGGATAATGTGCTGTTTAATGGAGAGGGGAGTAACCGTGTATGGAGAAAACAATAGATGTTGTTGCTTTGAACCTTATAAAAAAATTGGGATTGAAATTTGAATTGTGCTTTTATGCGACAGCTAAGATGGTAAAAATTAAACATTACTTTTATGGCGGTATTTTTACTCAATCAAGTGGTTCTTAGTAGTAGTAATATGTAAGTGAGGGGAAAAAAATTGAAGAGGTATTTATTCAGTCAATGGAAAAGGCCCCACCAAAGACATTTTGCCTTGTGGTCGAAAATGTCTAAATCAGACAATGGTCATTGACCGTTCTTAGGGTCTTTCGGCTACCTATCGTGACCGCATATTTTAATCGGAGCCGTTAAAGTTTAAGTGGTCATATTGTATAGTAATGGAAGGGAAATTGAAATTGTTTGCGAGAAGAGGGCGGAGAGTGATTGGTAAAGGTGGGCGCAATCTGTTATTATGAAATGTGTCACAAAAACAATATTAGTTACGGTGAACAAATTGTTGCCAATTAAATGAAAATATATGAACTTGCGATTAATACTTAAACGATCAACTTTATTATACATTTGGCCCGGTAACAGTGTATACACGATCAACGCTTAATCAAACGTGAAAAATGATTTGCAGTCTAGTAAATAAATGCTGCAAAATCAATTTGGTTATTTATTTTCCATACTGTTTTGTGTATGAACAATAAATTTTCCAAATCCGTTTCAACATTAATCCATATCGACACCATCTATTTGTCAAGCGCTGTTGTTTTGTCGCTAAGACATTATTTTTATTGCAAGCTTTTTGGAAATTCAATTTTCTCTATTCAATTACTCTTATTTGTTTTGACTGATTAAAGTTTAAACTTTTTACAACTCTTGTTCTAACATAAGCCATAACGATTTATGTTAAGTCCCAATTGGAGGCCGATTATATATTTATATTTTTACTGTTGTACATAACACGCTGCATTTTATATGTATATATATATTAATAAATGCGGAAACTCTTCATGGTTTACGACTCGAGACGTTTTAAAAAAAAGCAATTTCGTCGAGTCAATAAAATAACCTCTATACAACAATGGACCAGTCTGCTAGTGAATATTTTTTAACAATCGCAGCAATGTTATTATGATCATCATTTAATTCCGCCGCAATTGATTTGAATTGATGTTGGAAATGAGATTTTAGTGTTGAAATCAGTGTTTGCATATTATTTACAACGTATGTAGGTTATAAGATTGACCAAAACAAATAAAACAGGTAATGATACAATTATATAATCGAATAAAAAAAAAGTGGACTCGCCTTACGCGTGTTATTATTAATATTATTATTGTGCAAGTTATTAAAAGGGTAAATTGATAATTAAATACAGTCAATTAATTGATAAATTAAATATAATTTACATTTTTTTTGTTTGTTCTTTATCGGGTAATTAAAAAATAGCTTATTATGCCGCGTTGCACGGGCGTTGATTATTATTCATTTATTATAACAGCAAATTTTTTCAACCAATAAAATAACTAAATAAAAAAAAAACAACGCTATTTTCGTTAATATATATTTTTTTTGTTTGTTTAAAATAAAAAAAAGAATACAAGAATCTTACCAATCCTGTTTTTAAACAGTAGCAATTTCGGTAGATAATCGTTAAATGGTTTTTTTCATCAAATATTAATATCAACTGTGACTTTAAAATAAAATAAAACTGCTTAAAATGTAATCGTTTCAGTTGGCTATAATAAACTGAAAGGTATTGTAAAGTTATAATAAAAAAACGCACTTGTCTTATAAAATAACAAAATCAAATTATAGAGATATTTTTATTTTCTATAGATTTTAACCTTTTTAGTGTAGTAATTTTACTTTTTGTATGTAGTCTCGGGAACCCGACAGATCTAGTTTAAATGTAAATAAGACGTTTTTTTTATCGTTTAATGTTTTTTTTTTTTTTACACACAGTGCATATTTACATTATAAATTATTAAAGTACATAAATAATAATATTATACAAATACAACTTCTCGAAGCGGATAAACAGGGTTGGCCAATTTAGTCGTACTTTTTGTTTCGTTATTATTATAAAATTAGCGTTTAAATTGCTTTTATTAACGTAATTGTTTAAACAAAAAGTAGAGCTTTTGTTTTGACATGATGCCTTGCCTTGTGTTTAATTAACGTTGAAACTAAAAGGCCATAGAGGACCGTTGGCAGTCAGTGTACTCGACGAATATTAGAAGATAAGACGTGGACGGATAGAAAAATTTCATTGTACAAATTTCACATTTTACATTGACAAATACAATAACAATAGTGATAATTTGTGGATGAATGATTTACCGACTAATTATCTGACAATGTCTGTTTTGATAATAGTTACATTTTGTAGCTGATTCGCTCATCTCTGCAATTATTTGCTACTGGTAAAAATAGTACCAATTAAAAAATAAATGGAATTTAAGGTTGACATAAAAAAAAAACATAATACTTTTAAACTAATTAGTTTAGTTCGTTGCACTTTATTAGTTGATTAAATGAAATTTATGTTGTAAAATATTTGATCTATAATATTCGCAGAAGGTTCTGAGATAAAATTAAGCTCATTTAAAACTTTCCAAGAATATAGCACACTATGAACTTCTAATTAATTTTTGGTCTCTGACATTTTCGTTTTTTTTTTCCTGTGGGAAGAATTTATCACAGCGTGGGTGTAAAAAAAAACCGATCAATTTTTTTTTTTTTAGTCTTAAATCTACTTCGGGTCCATCATACTTTCTGTTTCATTCTTAGGAGGTTATTCCTCCCGTTTAAAAATACCCTTTAAATGTGTCGGGTGTCAGTGTTTGCTTGTAAGTCCGCTTGTGTACTTTGTAAGGGTCTGTACGCAATTTTCATTCACGTCACGTACATTTTCGCCGTTTATTCATTGTTGTGATTTCGACAAAAGAATGTTGTCCCAAGCGGGAAGACGATCGTCACCAACACCGGAATGGTAATCGAAAAGACTAGACAACAAACGGGATCGGTTCATTATGTCGCAAACGTATTTGGAAAAAGGTGTAAAAACAAATAACTATTATGAATATCCAACTTGGAACTGCAATATCATACAATACAGCGACGGCAACAAATGAGCATATCCCATTAAAAAAAAAAATGTAACTGTTAACTTTTTTTTTGTACGATGGACTAATTGTGTAAAATGTTTAATTCAATTAGAAATTTATAGAACTCAGAAGTGGTTTTGAAATGATTGTAGAATTTTCAGTTTAGTGGCGATAAGTATAGTGAACCAGACAGACGTGATCAGCGACTGGAAGAACGATTACGATGGCCTAACCTGGTAATTCGATCGGCCTAGTAATTGAAACTAGTTGGTGTACTTGTCGACCTTAATTGGGTCGGTTTAGTAGAAGTGGTTTGTGTTTGGGTATATCTTTCCGGCGCAGTTGTGGCGACACTAACTGTTGCGAAACCGAGCTGTCGTCGACGCCGTCCAAGTGCAGGCCAATCTAGTCGTGATGATTGTGCAATTGATTATTAAGTGTTTTTTTTTCTGTATGTGTGTGTGATCAAAGCACTTTTCGTTGTTGTTGTTTTGTCGATTTCAGTTGATAGTGTTGCCGTTTTATCAGTGACAGCTGGAGATTTCCAATATCGGGTAATAATGACTTTGCTAGAGTTCACTACTGCCAACAAGGGTGTAACTTATGTTTAGAGGGGCAAAAATGCAGTCTATTGAAAGTTTTAAGTCAAATTATTATACCGTCGAATTTTCTTGGAGATGCACAGAGTGCCATATTGTATCATTCACCATGGACCAAATCATTGGTTCCTAAACACAGGTGTAATTGGTTTTGGCCTTGAATCGACCGATTAACGATAAGTAAACCAGCTGCTATCAGCGTGGTTGGTATTTTTTTGGCTAACAACGAATTTACTCTATAAGCTTTTTATACCTACCCAACAACAACCGCGTGTTCCATTTTCAATATAGCATTATATATGTATACTTACTGGCTTACACAGGTTTAGGTATTATCTTTAGGATATTATATTAGCCTATTAGAAAAATGACTGAAGGTAATTCCGTTTACGTGACTTGCAGATTTTTATTTCCTAATATTATTACTATGACGCACGTATCAATATTTATTTATAAATTATAATATATAATATTATTATATTTTTTATTCAATTTGTAATGCCTTTTTATAATAAAAAAAAATAAGCTCTCTACAGATCCGCACGGTTAGGCGTGGAATAATTTATTATTGTAACAGACAATTAGGCATATATTGTAAAAATGTAATTTGTTTTTTTATTATATCAAAGCAATCAACGATTTTGTGTTTTTCATTGAACATTTTCGTTAAGGACTTCTGTAAAATAATATTAACATGTAAGAGGACGTCATACATTAAATATTAAGATTTTGCAAAAAATTGCCCTGTACCCAATTCCAAATAGAGGAATGACGTCGTTAAAACGATTAAATATTTGGTGTTTTCAAAATTCCATTTCTTTAGAATTAATCCATTTTCTTGGGATTTTGCCCGGACTCCGGCCCGAAAACACAAACATGTTTTATTGCGAAGCGGCCTTAATAAAAAAATATTCCAATGCTATCCATTGAAGTGTATAATATATTATTATTATGTTTAGAGTTCTTAGTATTTTATAGAGACTATATTGGTATCGAATGGCCTCCCTAATACGCAGTAGTAATTGTCGTACAAAAGGATAATTTGCATTATTCATATAATATATATATATATAGCATGCATGTAGATAAATAAATAGAGATGTTTGTGTAAAGATATTTTTTTTTTACATAATTTTTACTATTAAACGTATTGGAAAAACGAACAAAAGATTGTTGTTTTTATAGCCGATGCTTTATGCATTATTTATGAAAATATCAGCGCACATGCACGCAAAGCGTCAATGGTGTACGTTTCTGTTAATCCAATTAGCGTTGTTCAAAGTCCATTCATGTGAACCGAGAGTTCACTACAATGCAGGACAGCACAGGTATAATGAACCAATTATATGAGATGTACGGTATTTCAATATTGCAGTGTGTGTTTAATGTACATTATGTAAAAACATTTAGAACGTTCTGGTAACGACCTACACGGTCGTTTGTCTCGGTTTGTTTGATCATTCCATTAGCAGCGTATGAGTATTCGACTTAAACGACAGTTTACATTGATATATTTTTCTTTGAGTACACCATCCCCGCCTTTTACGTTTTTAAATTTCTTCTAGTTAACAATTTGTCGACAAAACATAACGCGACATTGCAGTGATGAGGTTTTTGAAGGGAAAACTAAGTACAAAAATCCTGTGCAACTATTACACGTGTACTTTTGCTCGTGGTGGTTAGTTGTAATTAGGTTAGTGACATATTGCCATCACGCTACAAAGATGACACCATAGATACACCGTCAAACGAAGTTATATGTTGTTGCACTACTTCACATCTGTGTCAGGCTTAAAAGGGCTGCAGTTGACTTTCGGTAGACCAGCGTTGAACTTGTAATTTTATCCATTTACCTAAAGTAAGCCGATGCATAACCTCATAGTCCATTAAGCCGGCGATAAAATTACCGTTGATGAGAGTATATTTACATATTAAAATTAATGTTTGAATTCCTTCTAAGAGGTACAGTATGTATATACAGTGTAATCATTTTATCGCGAACCACTCAATATCTCATTAAAATAATTCATTCCAATATTGATTGTATTCATTTTGTTTAATTAATTATTTTTAGTTTATTTAATTTATTTTCAAACGAATGTTTCTCTAACGAAGAATCAATTAAATTAAAATATAATTCCTGTAGCAAGGGCTTGGAGTTCTTTAAAATAATTTTAATAATGTGTATATATATATATATTAGCAATAAATGTACAGCTAAAAAGCATTGCCATACATAAGGTGAAAGTTAAATTTAATTTTTTAGATAAATTATCGATTATGACCTTATAAATTTGTACTTATATTTACTGTCAGATAATTGAACATCGTGTTGTTGCTATAAAAAAACATAAAGTAAAAAAAAAATCGATAATTTGTTTTGTTTTTCTTTTGCAGCTTGTAACATTCTTATACAAGGCATGAACGAGGTGTACACGCTCAGGAATTATGGAAAACAAGTCAACTGCAGTCTTACCACTTTATATCCGGCCGAAGTGAAGATCCTTTCGTTGGGCGTCGGCCTCGGACACGGTCAAAAGCGGAACTATGAACTCGAAACCGGAACCATTCATAAGGTATATTATAATATTATCGCGGGCAGAAGAACGCAGTGTCACAGTGTTTAAACATTATAATGATATATTTTACTGTCTGGTCAACAGTGCGAAAACCGCGGATTGCCTGATTTCGTTCAAGTGGGCGGCGGCGACGGTTTAGGGCAATTGTCGGTGGTCGATTCGATTTGTGGAACTCATTCGGCGCCAGGTAATGTATTATAATTATTTTCGGTCGTGTAATATGTTAAACAATTTTAAATCCAATTACCATATCAAACGAACAACTATATAATATTTTACCCGAGATACCTACATCCAAGTGTCGTTGCACTGGTGTCACTCGTTCGGGGCGATAAATGATAAAAGTTATTTTTCTGCCGTTAAAATTGGCCGGTATATTTAATGTAGGTATATCTTGCAGATTGCAGATGTAGCTTGCAGATCAGAAACGCCAGTTGTGTATATCTAATACCTAATACTATACCAAGTATCAAAAATTAAAAATGTCTTTTAGCTGGTTTTGAAATTAATCACCACGTGTATTTTTAATACCACTCCAGTCAATGTCAATTCATATTACAAAAAATACAAATCAAATCCAATTAAGAGCTAGACTTTGACTTGGCAACTCGGGTTGATTACCAGAAAAAAGGGTTGGCCGGATAAACGCGTTACAATACACTTATCGAGTTTGCACGCACGAGTGTAGGGAAATTGCCTACACGGAACGCCGTCTCAGTTTTATTTGCAGACAAACCCAATCGTGTCCGAGCTGTTTCTTATTGTATTAAGTATTTTTTTTTTTTTTTTTAATTACTTCCAGAAAACATGGTGGAAACCATAATGTGCGGTGTGACTACCGTGAGGATGGTGTCGAGCGGTCAATTCCATAACGCTGTTACAGTAGCCGTCAAGCCACCCGAAATAGAAGCTACACCGACGTTGGTCTGCCAACACTAATAGAAACAACGGTCTTCGCTTAAACAAGAAAAAAAGAAAAGAAAAAAAAAAGTCTTTCCCCATCCAAAGAACAAAAAAAACCACATGAATCCTATTTTACCCTTATATTTGTTTTTGTTTATTATTATTATTAATTTTTTTTTTTAAATAATATATTATTGTTTGTTCGTATATAAATATATTATACTTACGCGTAAAAAAAAAAAGATATGAAATTCATAGAACAGTGTATACTAGATAAAAGAACACAAAAAAAAAAAAACATTCGACGTCCATAAAATATATTCGGTTATTCTCATTATTTTATATACATATATATGTGTGTGTGTGCTACTTTGGCATAAAATGGCCTGTCTGAAATATATTAGCGTATATTAGATTTACAAGTTTTCAATTTCATTAAAAAGTATGGAATTATGATGTTTGATGGTTGTTAACAAGCGGTGCTTGTTTTAAAAACTGTTCAATTTTTTTTAGTCTATTTTTTTTTTAAACACAACAACAACATGCGTATGCGCTAACTAAGACTATATATATATAAAAAAAAAAATAGATTTTGGATTTTTTAGAAATCCAAAAAACAGATACATATATAACATATGATATAAATAGTGTGTATATGATTGTATTATTTTGTGTGTGTGCACGCCGGACATTAACTGGAAATAATAATAAAACACTGATAATTTTTTTTTTTTAAATACATAATATATTACAATGATAATAATCATAATAACATAATATATGATGTATGTATACTATAAAATATTGATATGTCCTATGCATATTGGCTTGATATGTATAGTATATTTATATATGTATATATATATATATATATATTTTTTTTTTTAAAGGTTACAATATCGATTATCAATAACACAGCTGATATAACGGTGTTTTTCGTCGACACAATAAGAATAATGATAACACTATATTATTACATTACATTAATGGATATCGTCCGAGCATCTCACAAGTGTACACAATGATAGTGTGCAATGTAGTATCGCGCTAACACTAATAATACTTGCCAACGACATCATCAGCTAAATAATTATGTACAGGGAGTCCCGTTAAGTTGTACCGAGCTACGACCGAGCACGACGTTCCTTCAATAACGGTTCTATCAAAAATACATTGATAATTTCGATAAACCCCTTCTGTTTATGTGGAATGTAAATCGTTGAGTACTACTGTAGTGACGTTCGAGTGTGCAAAACAATATAATAACAATATAATGAAAGAATTATTTTAGTTTTTAATATAAATAACGACGACTGTAAAAACCATTGGAAAAAAATCGATTAAAAGTCATCTTAAATACAATTACAAAATTATATAAAAAAAAAAAAATAATGGACATGCCGAAGAGAGCTCGTTTGAAGCTCGGTACGACTTAAAAGTACACCCTGTATATTCCCGACAATTACATTATCCTTATCTATGTATATATTTTAAATACAATAAGTATTTTATAGGTATAGGTAAGCTTAAACAGTATTAATCTTTATCATATAGTAGTTTCGAAGCCGGTCGGTATAATATTTTTTTTTTAAATTATACTTTTTGTTTTATTAAAAACTACTTACTACGTATAAATAGTGTACAAAAATAGTTCTAAGTTTAACGCGTGACGTACAAGGCTTTTTTTTAAACAATTTTTTACCATTTATCCTATTCCATTGTGTGTGTGTGTGTATCGTATAAAAAAAATTATATAAACACACACACACACACATTTAATTTCCGCAAACGCGCTACACTTTAAATACACATACAATAATAATAATATATCCAGGTTAACAGAAAAAGGCAGCAAGCCGAAAATAGTTTTATATATAAATAAATATATATTATTATCGTCATCAAGATTATATTATTTATATTCGTCTAAAATCGCAGTCTGGTTAATTGACATGAAATACGTTTACGATTTGTTTTGTCATTTGCAATATTAATAATTATATTTTATACAGCTACGACGCGTTTTTTTTATTATATTTTTTATCAATTATTATATATATATATTGTAAGGCCTGCGCATAAGAGAAAAAACAGTGTAAGTTGCACACACAAAAAACTCTACAAGAATATTTATGTTGATTGGCGCAGAAATAATTCTTTACGGACTAGACGCGTTAGTATTGTGTGATATACTTTTTATTCTAAGTTAAACTTGATAAAGTTTAGGTAGGCTAAGCTGTGTGTTAGCTATACTCGGTTATCATTAAACACTATTATAGTAACAGGCAAGTACATAAATATAATATTATTTCAGGCGTCGAGGAGCGATTTGATTACAATACAATAACATTGTACACTTATGTCTACGTGTAGCTTAGTTGCTAATTTACACATTATACAATATTATTATTATTTAATACTTATTTTCTAATTAGGTAACCATAGGTTTTTTTTTCATCCTAAATAATAATATATATTCAATTAACGTTATTTATTTATATTCTCAACCTTAACGACGCGATAGTCGCTTCGAGCTACACTTAAACGCTTCGTTCTTTAAAAATATCATACTGTTTATTAATTATTAGTAATAATAATATAAAACATGTGATGTATTATCTCTGTGTGATTATGATATTAGGTACTAGTTTAGATTAGCTAAAATCAGCGTTGTATTTCTCGGTATGAGCAATATAAATTATATGTCACTACATGCTAAGTACGACAACGGTATAGGTATTAATTATAGCGATTGGCGTGCATTGGAAAAGGGAAGAGCTTGACACGACTAAAAAAAAATTTTTTAGACAACCTTTTTGTTACAACGTAAAATGTACTTAAACACATCTTCACAGTTTCTCATCGAGGCTAAAAACGCACATTGCAAGCTCTTCCCTTCAATATTAATAAAACCATTCGCTTTACAAATTGTTTTGTGAATATTACACATAATACAATAATTATTACAACTCTTAATATGATATGTAAACAGCAGAAGCGCATAATACAACTTAAAATATATATTATGTACTTGTATGAACAACGGTATACGACAACATGTATAAATAGTTACTAAAAAAAAAAAAAAATACAATGATTGGTACACCTAAAACAGACGATTTAGCCATAAGTTAACGTACAAAGGAGTATTAAAATACAGTTTTTTTTTTTAATATTCAAAAGAGATCCTAGGCGTTCACGATAATAAAAAACACAGTCTGTTTGATATGTATATGTTTCAAGTAGTACAAAGTAGTCCAACATTCGGAACGGACGTTTTTTTATTTAGGGGAGGGGGAGGTTTCTATTTTGTAATCGTTTGGCCGAAAGTAAGTAGTTTGTTTTTTGATATGTCAAGTATATTATTTAGTTTTTGATGTAATAATAATAATAATGTTATTATATAAACAATGAGGATTGTTTTATTTCAACGTTTTTAAAACAAACAAAAATTGACCCGTTCCTAAACTCCAGTTTTTCTCGGATATAAAAATATGAAAAAATGATTTTCCATCTATAAAGATTTGTTTAAAATATAATATATATAAATATATTTATAAGTAGACCATACTATCTAGGGCATACAAAAAGATAATGTTTGTATTTATCTCAAGTCGTTTACACACTGCGTACAAGTATACATATATAATAATATGTAATAATTGAGCTATAAAAACGTACTTATAGTATTGATATTTATTTATTAAAAATTATTATATTATTATTATTATTATTGTTATATTAAAGAGCTAAGATTGTCCGTATGTTGATATATATATATAAATGTGTTCCCAGTGTATGGACGAAATGGATTTTTAAAGGTTAAATATAGTGCCGTGAGCCATTATATAATATGATATAATATACATACAGTATATCCCGTGACTTGTCAAGTATCTGTAACTTAAAGAACAAAAAAAAAAAAATGTCTGGCCAAAGGTCGATCCGAAGAGAGAGAACATTTTTTCAAAATTACACTGTCCCCGCTAAGTGGAATAAATATTAAGACATTTGCGAAATACACTGTTTAAATACCATCACTGCAGTAATTATTTATCTTAAAAAGTCGTGTGTAACACACTAGCCGACTAGCTAACAGAAGGTACTATTGTCGTGCATGCATTATTATTATTGGCATACTAATGGGTTTTTTATTTTTGAGAAATTTTAGGCGTCTCGCTTAACGCGGTATCAAGCTATTTTCTTAGCACATAAACTATGTTATATTATATTTTCGTTTTAGTGTAAACGCTAATTTTTATTGATTAGATTTTTTTTTTTTTATCAAACGTTCCTTGCGGATTGCGTTTAACGCCTAACATTTATTTATATCACGTTTTTAAGATTCCGTTTTGTTTTTTAAGTATTTAACCTTTCTACGTTTTTAATACGTGCATACGCATGTACATTTATTTTATATATATATATTTATATGTTGTACAAAATTACAACACGCGACGTTTATATTTTGATATGTTTTAAGTTTCCTCCGCCCGTTTTGGGCGCCCTGACTTGGTGGGTGGTTAAGTTCAAAATGCGATCATCCGGATGGGTCGTTTAATAATATTATTATTATTATATTTGATTTCTCGACGGTGACATTCTTAAGTATGCTTGTTTTTTTTTTTTTTTTTTTACAACACCTCGGATACAATCAACATGACCAAGATACAAGTGATCGAGTAGACCTGATGGTCGGCGGCGGCGGCCGACAGTTGCACAGAAGTGTAGTTGTCGTTGGCGTTGGGCAGCATTAGGTCGATGTAATCTTCACAGGCGTTTTTACTGCTCTTTTTCAGCGATTCGGCTGCACAGACAATACACAGAATTGTAGTACTCGGTTAACATTACAGTTTGTCACACGGTTGACTTACCGATTTTCGGGAAAAACCCGTTCCAAAATTGGCACTCGGTGGCCCTAGGCCCGTAGCCCACTTCCAACTTGGCGGTGTTCCAAACGTGGTAGCTGGGATTCGATTCGTTGTACAGTGGCCAGTCTATGTCGTCCGAAACGGGTGTTCTGAGAAAAAAAAATCATATATATATATGTATAGCTTATACTAAAAAAAATAGATAAACCCGAAGTAGAAAACGAAACAAAAATATCCAAAAAAAATAACGAACGTGTGTCTTAGGAATCGTTTTTACCGGTAAAATGTTTTTTATAATTATTTTTGACCTATTACAACCCAAAATTAGTAGCTTAATACAGTAGTTTTAACATAATAAACAATACTAATAATACACGCCGTTCACGTCAAAAGCAGCTGATACGTTTGATTTATAAAAACACTAAGGAAATATTACGACTATACCTGTATAAATATTATATTATACTTATTATACACAGTTATACCCGTCCCTATTATTAATTTGTTTATACATATTTTTTTTTTAATCATCTGTTTCTCAAATACTAATATTAATTAACTCAGATATCTTCCTACTGTACTTCGGAAAATTCCCATGTTGGTTTGTCGCTGAATATATTTTGTATAATTGTGTTTAATTTCTATTAAACGTGTAAACTATCTAATGAGTATTTTATGAATCCAAATTAACCAGGCTATCCAGATTAACCGGATTTATTAACTATCCAGATTTAATGTCGAAAGTAAGTTTCCGTCGAAAAATTGTATTTATTTCTAAACTTTGATTACAAATGTGTTTTTCCAAAAAAAAAACAGTTTCCTTCTTTTGATATTTTATTTTGAAACGTATCAACGATACGACCGCCATAAGTACTTTTGGACCAATAGATTGTTCTTGAAATAAGTTCTTTTTTCCCTGCTTTTCGACTCGGCGGGTCCTACCTCTAACCTAACCTCCTCTAGTCGTTTTCGAAAAGTTCCAGTTCTTATCAGAGTGCGCGTATATTTGAAAACTTTTATGTTTAGATTTTATACCTACTCGGAAATTCGGTGTTCCAACTATTGTAGCAGTTTGCAGTTATATTATTATCATTTGTTCTCAACGGTACCTACGGCGAGGTGTCTGAGTGTGTGTGTGTGTGCCTAAATGGCATGGCGTTACCCGAAACGTGTTGTAAAATTGGAAACTGTAGAAATAATAATTGAGATCGAGTAGGGATTTAGGTCCACGCCGAGACAGCTGGGTAAAATTGTTAATTACAATGTGAGCCGGTTGGAAAGAAAGCCAAACCAATAGGAGAACGCATGAAAACGTGGAATAACGCACAGCTGATGGGGGGAAAACGCTTACATACCATGTGGTTTTTTTTTTTTTTGATGTAGGCGTTTCGACCGCAATACACATACAACTGTCGGAAATCTAATTAATTGTGTTTTTGCCATTGTTTCGGATCAAACGTTTATTACAAAACAACGGCATTGTGCGACCTATATATATATATTGTATACGGCGCGGAGTGCACTATAGTAATCAATCCGTTTTTATTTTTATTTTTTGCCTTTTCGTCCCAATTTTTTATAACTTTTCATTTTACCGCGAGCCCCCCCCCCCTCCCACCGTTGCCCGACCCCGGGGAGTTGGGAAATTACTGGATTTAATTCGTGACCCGAATCGTTAAAGCACCACCAGACCCCGGGGCCGACCATCTCGGCCGAAGGGAATTCGCAGATTTTGTTTTGTTTCTGCCAAAGTGAATTCTTTTGCTCTTTTCGAACTCACAGGTTTTGTACTATTAAGGTACAAACCGTAGCGCGCTATCCAAGATTGTTTTAGCACAAGAGGTTCGCCCATAAATAGTATACAAGTAACTTTATGCAACTCGTTTAGTTCACTTTATACAGTTCGGGTCACAACGAAAGCGCATAATATAATTATCAGCTGATTAAAAAAACACAGCACGCAAAAAAATGGACAACAATGGGAAACAATGCATATAATCAGTTTTAATATTTTATGTTATTCACTACAGCACTCTAAAAAAAAAAAAAAAAACCAATAGACCTTTCCATCCCGCCATGGAAACTCGACCGGATCTTTCATATCTTTTTTCACACAGTCAGGGTATCGACCATTACAGGATTTAGATGTAATTTTTGGAATATAATATTGCAAAGACTGAAGGGAATCTGAGAAATTATAAATTTTACGAGCGTTTGTCGGAATCCAAGGCACGTTTAAGCCGACATACCTAATAATTAACGGCGATTTCGACTTTTAAAAAGTCACGTCAATTATTTACAAATAATGCTTTTGCACGTGAGCTAAATTATCCAGCTAAGACACCCAGTCCGAGCTCAATAAACAGTAGAGCAGTTGCTGGGAGAATTAAAATTTAACTTTCCTAATTAGTTGGTGCCCGGCCTCGGCTGTTCAGTGGACCCCTTAATGGCGAATGCAAGCTGACAAGAGTTGCGAGAACCGACCCTAAAGTTTCCACGGTCGAAAATAGAACACAGCCACTTGCCATAAAGAGTCGGCCGTTCCCTTAAATCACCTCCCCCCCCCCCACTTTTACCATTTTGGTGTGGGCACGTCATATATGGCGGGTGCATAACAAACAACAAAATCAATAGGTCTCGCACAAATAGTGTAATGCCAAGTCAGGTACACAAGAACATTATGACCGCGTCAGCTTTTCCTACGCCGGGTCGGCGTTTTACAAAGTCAATTCAACGGATCCTATTGTGTAATGCCGGCAAAATACTAATTAGTGTTAGCAAAACAAATACATAACTGCCGCTGTCGTCGGATCACTTGAAGAAAAGAAATCGGTGCAGATCCGTTTGGAGACATAGTGTGTGGTGTGGTAAGTAACGGTGACAAAGTTTCGCCATGCGAACACACAATATTCGGCCCGAGTGCGGTTTTCAAAAGCCGAAACGCGGGAAACAGGAAGGCTTTAGCAATTTTTTTTTTGTTAAAACGTCGGTTGGCGTGTCCCCGGCCAATTATTATCATGGCACGAAGATCATGCATATAAACCGTTAAAGGGGGGTTATTATTATATTATTATATTACCGTTTTATCGCAGTTCGCACGCGGCCCCATACATGTCGTCGGCAGATATATATATATATATATAATGTAATATTATAATGGTACGTTTCCGAAACCAATGCCGATTGATTGGCACGTACAACTACTATTGTCACATGCACTTACCCGGTTAACGAGAATCTGGTGAACGCTTCCATTATCCTGATGCTCAGATCCCTTTCCCTGGCGTTGTACGGCATTGACATGTTCAACGGATGCCCGAACACGTATTGCATCTCGTCACCGTGTATGACACCCATCCATTCGGCCCACAAGTGCGAGTCGGTTCTCTGTAGTGAAAAATAAAAAAGCTACATGACGGTTTTTGTTTTTTAAGCAACCAGATATATACATATTTGTCAACCACCGCGGGTTAAAACCGTCTGTTAAAATCCAGTAAAACAATATCATATGATCCGCGGCTGTCTCACATACACGGCTTGCGTTTGGCACGACTAGTCGAATGCTATTGTAAGTGCCTATTATTTGTAATTTAATTTTTACAATATTATAAACACCTAATTGTGTAAGTATAGGTTTCAGAAGTCAAAACGATAATTATTGCTCAATATAAAACGGCAACAAGAGTCTTGATTTATATGTATAGAGATTATCCAGTCTGAAGGACCAAGTTACGCAGTATCGCTATTTATTGTTTATCTTATGTTTGAAACAAACTTTTTTCAATGGTTTTATTCTAAGTAACTATACATGAGACATAGAGCTATAGAGAGAAACATTTAAAAAGTATTGCTATAGAATAATTAAACTATGAAGCTCTCTTCATAGGAGAGGTTAGGTTAAGTATGAAAGGAGAAAACAATGTTTGGCGGGTAATTTTTTTTTTACCAAATATCTATGCTAGTTGCAAAATAAAAATGTTGGTAAATTTTGTTGCGGAAGTAATATAAGAAGGCGGATTTTAATTAAAGATGTTTTCGAGGGGACAACTTTAAGTAACTTTACTTTATTGTGGAAGGGAAGCTTATTTTATATCCTTCTATGTGGTTTTCCTCGTGACGACAAGGAGCTGATAAAAGTTTTAACAGCGAACATTTAATTATTGGGTACTTTTCGGAAATGCGAACGAAACATTTGAGAGATAAGAAACCGTAAAATTTGTTCAGGACGACCAATCGATATTTGCTAGCTACTTTAGTCAGTCAATATGCGTTTGGACATTGGTTCGAACTGGCGAGATCATTTGCATTGTCGGCCAAATACCATTGTAGTATGTTAGTTTAGGATTAAGACGTTGTACGTTTAGAGAGGACTTTTTTCTCATCCTGTCTGTACTCCGTTACTTGTGTGTATGGACACTTATTTACACACAACACAAGAATATGTATACAATTTTTTTTTTTAAATAATGATTATTTGTTATTACATGTGTGAAGAAATAGTAGTAAACCCGGGCTCCTCTGTTGGACACGATGTTGGCGAACAGGTTGGTCGGACACACGAAGAAGTAGTCGGCCACGATGTCGCTCAGTTGCTTTTGGCTTGAGTACGCGTCGTCCAGGTCTCTTTTTTCCCATCCCGTGTACTGTAGCAAAATAAACATTATTGTAATTTATAAAAAATATAAACTCACAACATTGCCGTGTTGTTCATTTTAACAGCGCGGTTGTGTTATTACCAGGAAAATATGATCATAAGTGTAACAAAAAAAAAAAAACCGTGTACAATAATTAATGTGAATAACACACAAAAAAAGGTTATTTCACTTTAAGTTTAAAACGTGTTAATAAATACATATATAAATACATATATTTATATATATGTCGCAAGTACAGCGAGGGTTGTTAATTACGATTATTAAGAAATTTATAGGTGCCAGACACGAATGATAGCGTTACTCAAGCCGAGGTACAAATTGGCCGCCATGTTATATGCCTACAAGCTTGTGAACATTACCGGTAACACAAGTAATCGCGATAAACAAAATATATTATCATCGGTACCGCCAAAATTATATTAAAAAAAAAAATAAAAAGGTCCCTATGAGAGTACTTACAATGTGTTTCGCGCGAAATCCGACGGTAACCGATAATAAAGGTCAGCAATATAATCCGAACACACAATAACGAATTTTCAACTAAAAATTCACTCGAACCAGTTAGCCAAAAGCCTCTAGTTTGAGAAAAGCTTGGGATAGTAAAAATCGTACAACATAAAATTAGCGCTTTTCAAAATACCTGCATTTATTTTTTAGTAAGAGATTTGTAGTGCTACAAATAAATGTAGCACTAGTTTTAGGTTAATGTTTTTGGAGTCTTAAGCCCCCCTCCCTCTCTCCCCCTGATCTCCGCCAATGAAGGATAATAGTTATCGCAGTACTTATGTCGGTCTATACAAAGTTTCAAATAATTATGTATTATTTCAACGTTTAACGACGTTGTCGGTGCAACAAATTTATAATAAATAATAGCGCTCTCCTGTAATAACTTGTGATTTACATATATTATTATAAATGTATACTATAAAACGTGCATGGTAATATTATAGGTATAAGGTTTTCGCCTAGAAAATACATTTAAATAAGTCCCGTATACGAGTCGTTAACGCCGTTAAGAACGCTCCCAGGTTGTGTAATCCAGGTACCCATACCGATGGAAAGGTGTCCGTTTTTAAGTGTTTATGCAATATATTATAGAATTTTGGTTACCTCAGGCGAACAAGCCCCGTGAATAAGGGGTCCAATTAAAGTGTCCGCAACTCTTGTACATAAATAATGGGATATATATATATATATTTTTTTTTTAAGTGCTTCTCGATGGAATATTTATTGCACGATTACCGAACCGCGACAGTGCGGTGGCTGTTTTCTTTTTTTTTTTTTTACGAGGCAATATATTTTTTTTTATTTTAAACGTAGGTACACACATATATTATTACGATACAATAATAACGATATTACCTGGTACATGATAGCGTCCCTCTCCAGCTGCGTTCTGTCTTTGAATATCACGTTGACTATGTGCTTGAATTTTTCTCTAGTCAACTGGGTCGACAGCATGCGATCGAAAAAATCCACAAAATCGTACAACAGAAAATATGTACCTGAAAAATAAAACAACGCCGAGGTTTTCACAAAAATAGTTGTTATTCACTTTACGGGAAAGAAAAGTAACAATAATATTGTATTTATTAATTGTATTTTACATAACTTATAAATACATTTGAATTGGTTAGTTTAAAATATATTAAATATTGAAGCTTTTTCATTTGCTCTTTTTGGAAAGTTGCAAAATGTATACTTTTATAGTATTTGTTTCCCTGGTAGTTTTTGATATTTTCCTCAGAGTCAACTACATTAGGTGTTGCAGCTAAAAACAGCTCTTAGTTTATAAACATCTTGAGAGGGTTTTAGACACGATTGAAAATATATACAAGGTTATTGCACATACACTCCTCTTTGTCAAATATTCGATGATAACAAAAAAATATGTCAGTGTAACGGGAGCCAATATCAAGTATATAATATGTACACAGTAAGATATTATATAGTAACGGTAAATTTGATATCCCCTTACGCTGCCATTTTTGTTCTGAAGATAACAATTCGAGACGATGTACATTAACCTGTATATTTTAACCTCGGTTTTAGACGACCCAAGCCACCCCACCTACTATATATTCTGTTATTCCACTTGTACGGCAATAATATCAACGACCCAAGCTTTCAACGGACAATGTATAATATTATTAGGGATATCCGAGTAGAGGGATGACAGGATGTTAACAACAATGTAACACTTGACCTTGGGTGTCAATAGTGATTAGTAAATCATAACCGAGTATACAGGGCCGAGAGTAGTCGATTAACGAAGGTCGATGGCGATAACATTACTTGGTAAAATTTCTTTGACCACGCTGTAGAACAGAAGGATTATTTTTTTGTCACACTGACCTGAGATCATTAAAGTTTGTTAACGTTTTTCAATTTTTGGTTTTTTTAGGGTGCATCTGGTTTTATTTAAGCTCTTATAATGTTATAACTAACTTTTTTTCGTTAAACGAGCGTCACAAAAATGCAGTTGGCGTATTGGTAAAAGCATATTTATTTTTTCGTTTAACATTTTTTTGCCACGCACTTATATTATTATGCGAGGTATAGCACAATCCGTTGAATGGATTTTCACAAAAAAAAAAAAAACGTTCATCTTTTATAAAAAAAAACATATTGCCAGCAAAAGGGCGGTAGTGGCGGGAGCGTACAGTAATAATTACTAAAGGTGTGTGCACACACGGTTAAAATGGCTTTTGTAAGGAAAACTAAAGTAAATATACATAGCTCTTTCATATACACTATATACGGTCAATACAAAAGGTCAAAGAGTTACGCAAAACCATCGCTACGCGTAGCAGGTTATACCTGCGTAGGTACACATAATATAATATTTTAATAACAATAATAAAAATGAAAATGGAAGTAAAATTTATAATAATAATTTTACCGTATAGTATAGTATATTATTTTTTTTTTTTGCACAGTCTACGGGTATAAGGTAATTACCAATAAAAAAAAATTCCTATACGTTCGAACAGTGTAAAAAAAAAAATGTTTGTATTTTTTGCAACTCCTGAATTTTGTGTCAATCAGTTCTTTGACAGCGCCACTGGGGCATTCGATGGACACGTATGTAACACTATAATATAATAAACTTACTGTTTTCACGTTTCAGCACCGTGTCGATTTGCCTTTGAATTTTAAAAAAAAAATGTATTCGTCAACTGTCACAAACGTATTAACAAAACACTCGACAGAAGTTTTTGTCATTAAATAGGATTTCGTTGTCTCAAAATATTATAATTTAATAACAGGAAACCCCCAATAAAAAGCTTATAGGTATTGTTTAATTGACGAGGTAAACTCTGGACTAGGGACACGCCATTCGTAAAATATTTCATAGTTCCATTAATTTTATTTACAATACCAGGAACAATTATTATTATAAAACATACATGTTTTGTCATACAGAAATATTTATTTTGCTTAATAGAATGGTTTGTTAGTCAGTAAGCAATAATGAAACTATAATATACGATAGGTTGTAAGCCGAGAAATAATTGTGAGACCTTACCGAAAATCATAGTTAATAAAAATACTTAGTTAAGTACTCGGTTTAATTTTTATTCTAAGATATCTAAATTCTGCTCCTGACTAATTACTTTAAATATTTATTGAATAGCTATAATAATAAAAACAAAACACAATTTCAAAATAACCATTCTCGCTGTATTTGCCCTTTAATAATATTTAAAATATTTTATTTGTACTCATCGCAACGCCACCGGATTTCAGGCCAGATTATATTTATGTTATAATTTAGGTTTTTTTTAGTATAACTGTTAGTTGATAAGTTTATACACCAATATTATTGTCACCTTAGAGAGCTGGCCAGTAGGTAAGACTTTATTTGTATATAGTTCTTTTTTGTTTGAATAGTAGTTTTGTTATAATAATTTAATTTTGTGTTATTTGTTACTTTAAATCCCCTATACAGTCCATTATATATATTTACCGTACACTAATATTATTCACCACATAACGAAGGCATTATGTACAGTTAACAGTAGATGCACGCTACTTATCTAAATTTAAAGTTTTCCGGTGTTGACATATTATACTATGACACTTATACTATGCTTAGATTATGAACTACGGGCTGAATAGGATAAGTCAAAATCGTCAACAAGCAACATACATTGTTTTCAAGAGTCAAAAATGAAAATGTATGTATAATCGTACACAATTAGTGTGGATACATAATAATAATATTTGTAAGGTGTGAAAAGCACTTGAACCGCGACCCATGAATATTATATTATTATTATCATTGGAATGGTTAATTGGTCGGTTTGCAAGATTTACACGTTTATTACGAATTTCAAGTGTACCTTGGCGTTGTTCAAGTATCATATTTGAAAAATATTTCTCTCTCTCTTCATTATTTTACAGTGGAAATTCACGTTGCTGCAGCAGAGTTTTCAGACTCGAGGCCTGTCGTTTCAACAGTAGGGCTCAGTAGGGCTGGTGCTGATGTTAATAAAATATCACAAACGTTGTACACCCGGGCGATAGTCGATCCCGGGGTATTAATTTATTATATATATATACCGAACGATATTTAATTCAGAGTACGTTAATCTGCGACGTTAATAACGCGAAACCGAGGGATCGGATCAGCTGAGAGGGTTAATATATGTATTTATATTATAGGCCGTCCGAGTTTATTAAGCGCGTGTGTATTGTGTTCGATTTGAAAGTGTCAAAACAAAAAAACGGCTGAAATAAATGTTTATTTTCAAAAAACAAGTTTTGCGCACAGACCGCGATTGGTCACGTCGTTGTGTGACAACCTCTGGCGAATGACGAATCGTGCGCGTTTTCTTTTATTATATCATATTGCTATTATTCTAAAACCTCAGACGGGGCGCGCACAAGAAGAAAAGAAACACACGTACATTTTGGGGTGAAAAAAAATTAGGTCATAGCCGATGTGGTGTGGTGAACTCCTTCGAGCTTAACGCGCTATGCTGTTGTGCCTCGCGTCTCGTCCGGACCACAATCGTCGGAATAATAAAAAAAATCAAATAAAAGCGATGGAAATTTCCCAGCTCTATCAAAGGACGAATTTATTTTACTCGCGAGTCCAATTTTATGGAAATTGTATTTTCCCACTCGACGTATGCCATTCGAAATGTGCCAGCATGCAAGTCGAATAAACGACAGAGCGAACCAGTCGATTCGACGACGTGACCACAGTGCAATAGTGCTATGTGTGTTGTATAAATTATTCAGTGTCAAAAACCCCAATTCGGCCCGGATGACCATAATTGTTATTATTGGTCCGGTAACGCCAAAGGGTGTGTGTCAGATCTGCAAACGTGATCAGTCTACACGTTTAGTAAACAATTTTTGTGGAAAATCGTGATCACATTATATAAAAACACTGTAAAATGAAATTATTAATATATTAAACCCAGTGAGATATCGAGTGGCCCAAGTATAATATACTTGTTACGGGTATAATATAGCCTCGACCAAATACATAATATATAAGGTCATACCTGCCCAAACGGTATCTACAGATACAAGTGGTGACCGAGAAAATATGACCTGAAGGAATCGATTTTCAGGCATTCGGTGTGTGCGGTCTAACCGGCGTTTGAAAATATTTATCATTTCTTTTTCAAACTATACTACTGTACACCACCCACCACCTTTTATGGGATTTCGGCACCCTGCTAAAAATATTCACAGTTTCATATTTGAAACAAACTAACCGTGTCTCCCATACCAATATAGCACCGTTTACGGTCCACGTCGAAGCTAAAATCAATACATGATTAAACGTTCACAAGCGCTTACTAATTATCAGATGTGCCAACTTTGGAAAAAAATAATGAATTGTAAGCAATTTATTTTTCGCCGCGTCGTTCACTATAGTCAGAAATTAAATATAATATCTATATATTGTACTTGCAACGTTTTTCTCTGTGTTATTATATAAATCGAGTGGAGACACATTTTTATTAAACAATGGCCATTATTATCATTGTGTATAAATTGTCTATACTCAATGTTGTTGGTTTAGTCAATATTTCAGATTTTGCTCACACATTTTGCTCTACAGTGATGATATCCTCTAAGATTGTCTTTAAGAGGCCGGGATAATCGTTCTCCAAGTTTTTCCAAACTGGTTTCACATTATCAAAAATAATTTACTCTAATGAAAACTATCACTTATAAACTTCCGGTTGTTATCACATTATTTATTTTTAAGATAAATTAAGAACCATCTTCTCCGGGAAAAGAATCTTCTTGTCCGGTTGAAAATATTGTTTAAAAAAGCAAACCTAAATCGTATGATTCGGATTTGAAAGATAATTTATCGAACAAATTAAATCTTTCACCGTCGCATTTATAGTTTACAAATAGCTCTTAAGAAAACTTTTTCGACCAAGGATTTTTATGCCGCCCGTCCGCGTATAAAATAACTTTACTTTAATAGGTTTACCGGTCGTATAATCCGTAAGCCCCTCGGAATGGGCTATAGGTTTTGCCCTATAAAAAAAAAAAAATAATAATAATAAAACTAACTTTAGTCTCGACACCGAGACGGATTCACTAAATACCTTTGAATAGCTTTTTTTATAAATTTTATTTTATTATTTCAATTGGCGAATATTTGGGCCTAACTGAGAGAAATATATTTTATAATAAATAATTGTCAGTTGTACAATTTTAGAAGCGATATTCGTCATCAGGTCTAGTGGTTCGACATGTTATGTGTATAATAATATAACCATTGCAACATAACAAAATAAAAAATTAGATCAGGTAGGTACAAACATTTATAAGAAACACTTAAATGAAATGTATTTTTCAAATTACGTACCTATGTAAAAGAAACTGTAATCATTTAAGTATAATAACTTGATTATTCCCAATTTTAAATAATCTGGATATAAAATACAAGCCAATCAATAAAAATCAAATTCCGTTTAGGAAAACTTCATGCCGTTTGGAGATACCTGAATTCCAGTTTGAAATAGATTATTTTCTTGCCAAAAACAGAGACTAGTTTTCCGTGAGTAGTGAATATTTAAAACAAAAAATAAATAGTATTGGTGTGTCGCGTGCTGGTGCGCTTTCTGTTTGGAAATGACTTGGTAAATTACAATCCGTTCCATGCCAACAAATAGGATTTATTTTGGTTTAAAAATTACTGTTAAACACATTTGCAAATGTTCACAAAATAACAATGTAATTCGTGTTAAACATTAATAAAAAAAATATAATGTATTTATACATGGAAATTTCTTTATCGAAGTACACACATTAAAACGAACTTATTAAAATGATTTATATCTATTTTCGCTAAAAACAACATCCATAACAAGTATTAAATATATATTATAACTAATAAAATTATCCAAAATATATGGGACTGAAAACAGTTCCTTAAGAAAATGTTAGTTGACCATATTGTTACACGCAAATGGTATCATGTTGTGCAATATTTATTTTAATTTTAACTTAGGCCAGGAAATAAATGACTTACCTATTTGTGTAAAACGGTTAAAAGTTATGTTGGCACGATTATTATTCAAAACGTTATGCCATTGCATAAATAAGTTTTAATAGTCTTTCCGAAATCTTTCAGAATGAACTTTCTGAAAAACTTGTGAAAAACATTATTCAAGGAACGACGAGTGTTCGCTCTGAGAATTTATTATAATTCCAATCTATGGTGAAATATCTTTTAGGAGTTTTACTTTTTTTTGTATTTTATAAAATTTATTTGAATTAATTTTTTCCGCTTTGATGTCTTAAACAATTGAGTTGACATTTTTGTTTATGCTAAATTACAATAATAGACAATATCTAAATGTTGTATCTGTTTTTTTAGTATTTGTTATAGCTTTATCAACTATTGATATATAAATGTAAATGTAATTGCATTACATTTACTTTTAATTGCATTTATAAACTAAGCATAGTCTACTGAACATTTGGACTGGACGATAACCACTTTTGAATAATTATTTGTAAAGTTATTTAAATTTAAAATTCAATACCGGAGGTGGAGTGCGGCTGGGTAATTCGCACAGATAAAAATATCTCTACTCTCCTCCACTCTTCCTTCCGTCTTAAATTTCAAACTTAAGTTACTTTTAAACTATTTATTCAAAATTGGTTATCGACCGGTCAACGTTTTCAGCAAATTATACTAAATTTAGAAAGCTATTACACAGAGGTATGTTACCATTTTCAAGTGCTCTACGGTAATTGAAATTTCATACCGTAAAATATTTTATACTGTTGTCGGATCGGCTACAAATAAATCGGTCCGGTCGACATATTATTATTATTATATTGTTTTGCAAAATGTAATGCAAATCCTCACTCGTACGCTCAAAATGTATACATTAAAAATATAATATTGCGTTTTCAAAAGTATAAAGCATAGTATTTTTTTATTGTACTTTTGACCCGGTTCTTCCTCGCCAATGACACGCGACCAACGTTATTGACTATCGTCGTAGTCGCCCAAAAGGTCTATTTAATAAAAACTTTTTTGTCAACCTCGAAAAATTTCTATTCTCTCAATGCCATTCGGGTTCCAATTGGCTTACTCGAAGTCGTCGTGACAAAGTTCAAATTAAAAAAAAAATAATAAAACCAAAACAAAAGAAGAATACCTGCATCTAGCAGTTAAAGTGCATTTGACAAGAGCAGCTCATGTCAAATGTACTAGCTGCTAGTGCGCATAGTGTATATAAATATGATTGTTATACTCTAGTCGTTGTTATGATTTTAAAAATCTCTTTTTTTCATTTCGAGTGCTTTAAAAAAATTATTATTTTCTACCTCTGTGCAGGGGGTCACATTAATTATTACTGTGACAATCGGATGTGCATCAATGTGCAAAATAACGTACTCTAATATGTACCGTTAAGGTAGGATACAAATGAGTATTAAAAATAAAATAATAATAATTAATGCGAGTCCACTTATATTGTATATGCATTGTCCTGTTAAGTGTGTATTGTTATGACATTCATTATTTACTCTTATTTCTGTGCACTGCTGTAACAAAAACTATAATAAGATGTATAATGTAAAACGAGTAGAAGGTTTATAATATACGCTGTCTGATTACGACTTGTATGATGTAAAAACATTTTGGCCAAGATGTGGACACCATAGATGTTTGGTTAGGTTCTTGTGTAGTCTTTTATTTTGTAAACCGTGTTCGTTTGTCATAAAATAAGCGAAATGTGATAATTCGCTCGACCAAAAGTTGCTTGAAGTTTCCGGGTTCGCGTAAAAAAATAGAAATAAGTTTTCAAAAACAAATAAATCCGAATTTTTAAATTTAAAATCACAGGTTAAATAGCATTCGGTTATTGTTTTAAACTATGTAAATTATATTATTCTAATCCCGGTTCCGCAAAACTCGAGCAGAAGTTTTACTCATGAATAAGCATTCGGTTTTTTTTTATACTCCAGAGTTGTGTAAAGTGAATTGTGTTTGGCATTTATTTTCATAAACCATTTTTTTAATCCGTTGCGCGGTTTTCTTTGTGAGTGCTACTGATTATTTTAACTGCATCACGCGAAATTATGTTTGTCAGCTAACGAGACGCAGGAAGCAGCACTATAGAATAAAAAGTTAATTGTTTGGCTTCTGACATTATGCACATTTTTTTTTTCGACGAGGTGTTTTTCCTCCTTTTCTTACGTTTTTTTTTTTTTTTCTAATGGCAATCTCTCTTTAATCTATTCCAATTTTACACTATCCTATTGCTCGTTTTCCTCGGTCGGCCAAATACTATTATAGTTTCGAAATATATGTATGCTTACCTTCGTTCAGGTTGCTACCGATGAGTATTTCGATGTCGGTGAAATTCGCCTTGTTCAGCATGTCCAAAGGACTTTCGGGCAAGAACAGACCGTCCACTGTGGGCGCCGACGGAAAACCCAAAATGCCCGAGTAGCTGTTCCACTGTTTTTTGGAAATGGTGCCGGCGTCCACGGACCGTATGCAAGACATGGCCGAGTGCCAGTTCACCGTCAAGTCCGTCGAGTTGCACTTGCAGTCGTCCAACAGCTTTTTGCCAATTTCCAGAGCTCGTTCGCCGGACATGTAGCTCCAGGGCGCGTTCACCGTTCCCGACTGTAAGATGCCGCGTCGAACCAGCCCGCGGGTGACCGGCGATATCAGATGCACGCTGACCTGAGACGGTAATAAAAACCAAAAAATAAATAATAATAGAACGAATCATTCGGAACGAGATCATGTGACGACGTCACAAATGACTAGATACTAGGTACTCACCGACCCGCCGCCGGCGGATTCTCCGAACAGGGTTATGGTGTCCGGATCGGCGCCAAAGGCCGCCGCGTTAGCCTTTATCCACCTTATGGCCAACGCTTGATCCCACAAGCCCATGTTGCCCGGCGCGTCATCGCTGTCTTCGGGCAGCTCCGGCGCCAAGTACAGCCATCCAAAAGCCCCGAGTCTGTACTGCATCGATGCGATCATCACGTCAAAGGTGGCCGCCATCAGGTCTCCGTCGTAAATGTCCAGGGTCGAAGTGCCGGACATGTAACCGCCGCCGTAGATCCACACCAGCACGGGGATCTATAGGTGAAAAAAACAACAATTATTAAGGACAACCGAAGCGTTCCGGGGGGGGGGGGGGAAGTAAGTGATTCAAAGTTCAAACGGCTCCGGTATTCGGTACTACGCGTATATTATCATGTCTGTTTAACCTTAAATTTAAACCTGTAACCTCCTCCTATACTGTAGCCTACAAACCTAGGATATTTTTAGTTAGCGTAGCGATCGAGTGCCGAAACACTCGGAGACCTGCCGTCCTTATCAGTTGTCAATACGAATTCCGAATTTGGTAAAAGTGATAGCAACCCCTATAAAATCGATTAAAATTTATGAAAAAATGATAGAAAATTTTTCGTTTTCTTTCCATAAAAAACTCGCTGACGAGAAGGAATTTGTGTTGTAAAAAACCGGATCCGTTTGGGAATTAACCTTTTTGTAAAACGGGAGCCGTTTAGGAAAAACGGGAGCCGAATGGGCTACGTCCGTTCAAAAGCCAGCCGGTAGACCGCGCTGCCATTAATTAACCGTATAATATTACAGCAACCGATCAGTGTTTTATTTTATTTTTCATTTTACCGGAATCATGATTTTTAGCACTTATTTGTCAAATTACACTAAATCATTTCGAAATAAGCGTGCAACAGATGTTGTAAGTTCAAGTAGGTATTATTCAGGTGGAAATAAATTGACCCTTGGAAGTAGCTGCGGTAGTTTATTGCCGCCCACCGCATTTATTATCGCCGTATAGAATCGAATACTGTACCGTTGCACGACTGCCAGTAGACACGTGTACTGCATTGTACATTATGGTAGGTTAGACTAAGACAGTAAACGAGACATTGCCACCGCTAAATATGGTAATTATTCCGGCAGTGACATCGATAATAATTTCACGTCCACAGCGTGTACAAATGCAGTAAACCGTTCTGAGACTATTTGAAGTTAAAAAGCGACGATCAAACACTTAAGCTTAAGGATCCGTTGCACGCTATGAGCCCGCCCGTGGTCAAGCCTTTGACCTGAAGATATGTTACCGACTTTCATCGTAGGCCGTATATTAACACATGCCATTATGTTTATCGATAAGAACAAACACTTTGTAAGTACATCGTGATAATAATATGACGGTTCGCTGTACGAAATATAACGCCGGAAGTGTGCCGCGAATAGCCCTGAACAACCATCAATCTGTTCGGTACCTTTGACAGCTCGCATAAATAATATATGTAACGCTTAATTGAGAGTACTCGAAAGTGTGATGGTCGAACATTAAAACTGCCACTATGGTCAGCTGATAATTTAACTTTTGACTAACTGTGTTAGGAACAAGGTTTAGTATAATTGAACTGATATTGGAACAATTTGGATACGATAATAGTTTTATTGTAATGCAGAATAACTAACCTTCGGCAAGTCAAACCCTATGGAGCGGAGCAGATATAAACGAATTTGATAAATTAACGCGAACCATTAAAATTTTAGCATTATTATTATTAGAGTAACCTTTACGTGGAATGACCGTACACTTTTATGTCGACATAAAAGTAATAAAACAGAGTATTAAAGCTGAACATGAAAGTTTAACACAATGGCCATTGCACCTTTGCAGCCGTAGATACTAAAAGAGCTTCAACTTTTTACTACCTTCGTGCGTTTTGTCGGTGTGGGGTTTTTATTAAACCTGCAATGTGCATAACAGATAGCTAACATAGCTGATCGCACTTCACTTGACCGTTACTATTCTCGCCCTAAACCACAAATCAGCACATTAATATTATGCCACCTTTGATGTTTTTACCTAGTTTAACAAATTCAGTTCCCGCTGCAACGATCTCATAACTGTCAAAGAGCTTGTAATTTGCCAATCATTCTATTACCTGGTTAGTCTTGTTTCAAGATACCTTTGTTGGCAAAGGGAACACAAATAAGACGTAATTAAATATGTATTGTATTGCTTGAATTACTCGAGTATTGAAGTCCATTAACTACGGTAAATGACAAGTGAATGGGAAAAACTCAACATGTTGTTTGGTGAAAACGTGCCCAGTGCGTAGAATATAATATATTATATGATTATGTTCAATGGATGTCGGTGAAACGGGGACTTAACGCAGTCATTATTATACATAATAACTGACGGTTGATTAATTGCCGATAGAGCCGAAGCTCGAGTGGGAAGCCTACCCCGGCCAATGGGATTAAAACATAAGTGTCAGTCTTGTACATTGATGTGCCCTTGTTTAATCATTATAATGTTTTTTTTTTGTAGTCGTGGAAATAGAACAAAGAATTTTCATATTTTGCAAGTGATGATCATTATCAACGGACAACATTCAACAATTCTAACAAACAGATATTGCTGCCATCAGTGCTACAGTCATGCCGTATTAGTAATCAAAGTATAGTAAACTCGAGGAATGGTGATCGGCATAGGCAAGGTACTTGTGGAGAGTGGAGTTAACCATCATAGATGTCCGAAGCTGAAATATTCCAACTCATTAAAACGGTGCACAAAATATGATAATTTATGAGACAATTTTCGAGAATTAGCTTAGAAAATGAAAAGAAATAACTTATATGTTGAGGTGGTATGGTTTTTTCACGGGGAAATAGTGTAGTGAAACAGTAAATATACCGAGAAAAGTCCAAAAAAACAGCTACCCTACACAGTAGCTGGAGATAATAAATAATAATTTTAACGGCGAAGGATAACGACGCAAAACCACACTTGAATTCGGCCAAACTGAAGTGTTTATGCACAATTTATGTAGAGTTGAATCAGACGTTGTCCGCTTGGAACGCTAGTCGCTAACTCATCAGCTACAAACGTGATTACATCTGAACAATGTCGACTTGTAAGTGTGTTTTTAAGGTTACCTTGGAGCGGTGTGCAGTGTTGGAATGGTGCCTGGTGCGCTGTTTGCGCGGTACCCAGATGTTAAGGTACAGACAGTCCTCGGACAACTTGGTGTTGGGGTTCCACATCTCCTCGCCCTCGAACCCCGGGAAATACTCGTACCGCTCTTGGTAGCACGTGTTGGGCAACTTGGTGGCGTTGAACACGCCCGGCCACGGGTCCACCGGCACCGGCCGGCGAAACCTCAGCGGGCCCACCGGCGGCTTGGCGAACGGTATGCCGGTGAACACCCGCACCTCCTGGTTGGCGATGATCTTCGTGTAGCCCCGGATCAGCCCCGTGGTGGTCGCCACAACCGGGTGCTCGTCGCCGTCGTCGGCCGGCGCAGCGCCTCCGCCGCTTCCGCCGTCACTCGTAGCCCCGTTGCCAGTGACGTCACCGTTGGACGACGGCCGACCCAGCACGGCCGCACAGCACAACAGCAATGTCACGGCCGCCGTGCTAGCACGAACGCCGCCGCCGTCAAAACCCATCGCGTTTCTGCCGCACCAACAACCGCTGCGAATCAAACGACAACAAAAATCTCTATTAGAAACAGACAGGTCATAGGCAGGGCAAAAGATATGCATCGGTTTTGAAGGGCTGCGGAAAAAAAACTATTCAACTTGGAAAAATTAGGTTTATACTGTTCGATTCAGTAGACAATCTAGTTGTTTTGCATCAAGGTTTAAAGATTACATCACTAAAATGGTGACCGTGAGCGCGCAAACCACCCCCACGTATCCCACCTCAGAGAGACCAGGCGCTCGGGGACCATTTGTCTCAATTTCAGACCTGCGCGCTCACCAGATTTGACCATTTTCGTATTTTTTCTTTGAGGATACTTAAAGGAAAACGTTTTTAAGCATCGTTCATACAACCTCGAAGAACTTAAGAAGATAATAATTAGAGAGGAAATAATGGCTATACCCATTCGAATGTGCCGACAAGCGGCTGAAATCGCCTTCAACAGTGCATCGTTGCTGACGGTTGCCATTTTAGTGATGTAATCATTAAAACTTTGTGTAAAAAAATAGATTGTCTACTGATTTGAACAATAATAAATCTCATTTCTCTAAGTTGAATAGTTTTTTTCTGCAGCCCTTCAAAACCGATGCATATCTTTCGCCCCACCCAATTTATTTAAAATTAATAATATTGTCCGTTTGGAACACTAGTCGCTACACGAGAGTTTGTTATTTGTATAGGATTGACTTCGGGGGTCACTTTATCACAAGCAGTTGGGCTCAACCATATAATCGTGAATATTTTATAATTCTCACAAACGATTTTGGTTTACTCAACTTTTTAAACATGGAAAATTTGGTCTAAATTCGTTCTGTCTGTTACACGGTAATGAGCTAAATAAATTGTTCATATTATAGTTGTTGGATTTTTACAGCCGTCAATCTGATGCGATTATTGGATATTGTTTTTGTTTTAATCATAATCAACCCGGACTAACGAGATTGTCAACGATATCGCGTGGACACCACAAGACAATAGGCACAAGCGATAATAATTATTATGTTGCCACTGTTGTCTAAGTATACCCTTTTTTTCAATTCGATCCTCGGCGATCGCGGTAAAGTGGGTTCTGCTGTATTGTCGGTACTTGCCGGCAGAATTCTCCTCTAACCGAAATCCACTGGGTTATACAGTGTGGTGTAACATATATTATTATAATTGCCGGCAAGATACCAGAGCGGTTTGCTCTGCATTATTGCATATACAGACACGACTACCACAGGCACGTGGGCGGCGGTGTACTTACAACGGATTTTGGCGGTTAAGTTTCACCGTTAACCGCATGCCGACGGGGTCGGGCTTAAGTGGATTCCCGGTCGAACGCGTACAATCGTTGTAAATTACATTTAACCATACACACATAAACTACTTGAGGTGTGCATATAGTCTGTGTGTATGGAAACTGCAATTTCAGTTGCCGAATCGGAAAACCTACTATTATCAACAAGCGTCCTATTGGAAATCCGGTAATTATAAAAGGGATACGTTCGGCTTAGATAATAATGTTACTTCTCAAGCCTTACGACGGTATACTTCACAGTTGTACAAAAATTGACTCCTCAGTGTCCTTGCTTACACTATTATTACTTATATAGTGTAGGTCATCCCCTATGGTAGGTATTTATTCTATGTGGTGACCGTTAACCACCATATGGGTCGCCTGAAACTGAAACTTGTTTGAAAAAATTCAACCACGGGTTAATTAAATAAAACGCAATTTAAATAGAGTTATAGACGAAAGCCAACAGTTACACGTTAATCTTTTGAAAAATAAAGTTTTTGGCCTCATAAAAGAAAACCCCGCAACAACAATAAGAAAACACTCGGAAATTCAATCGAGTTTCAAACTTGGCGAAGAAAATTCAATTTATCAGAGTGTAAAATTATTACTAGTAGAATTCTAATAAAGATAAAAGTTCCGGGCAAAGCATATTTTCCTTGAACATTTCCATTTGAAACTTTTACAATGTTCGGTTCGTCATTCCTCAACGTTCATAAATACCTACATTTTCAAACAATATTATAAAATCAATCAAATAAAATATCAAGTCACTTAATCGAACCGTTTTCGGATTTTTTATTAAATTGGAGCAATGCGAGAATATTATGTTATTACTGTATTTATTGTTGTTGTCGGTGCGTACAGTAAATATTTCACTTGTCAAACTCACATTGCATAAACGACAAAGAAACTATTAGTAGGGTAGTATTTTTTTTTTTTTTTGTCTTGTTCTTTCAATGCAAACTACGCGACACCTAATCTATCTAACCAACGAAAACGGATTGTCTCTATTTATTTTCAACCAGTAGTTTGTTCGTCGTGTAAATCCTTAAAGTAATGTTTTAACTTGAAAATATTATATTATAGCAAGAAACGGGGTATCGCAGCCGGCAAGAGATAAGAGATAATTTTGATAATCTCAAGACCATCTAGACGGTCGTTTCGCTGAAACTTTCCTAAACGTTAACGACATGAGAACATATTTTGCATCCGCCCTGTGTCTTAAGACTTAAGAGATATAATACAGAATCATATTGTTGTAAGCACTTGCCATGTTCGAATTTTATTATGTATATTTTAAAGAAAAAATCCACGAGGTGTATATTGTATTAAAAACGTCGAGGCAAATATTATTTTACCGGCACACTAATGTACCGCCATCATCAGTATCCCATCTATAATAACATCCAGAACGGCATGCCACGCCGACGGTGTTTGGACGTGCGAAAAAATGCAATTAATCTTATTTGACAGATAAAAAAAAAAAAATTCGGTAAAAAATAAAAAAAAAACCCTCTCTGAGATGATATAACGACGATAAGACACGTTCGAGCTTTAGGTTTTCGCGTTGTCGGTCCTAATTTTTTCTGGGGTCGACTCTTTTCATAAAAAAAAAAAACTTCCAAAACAGAAACTTCACTCGGACACTTAAGTGTTCCGGAAATCATTTGTTCTTTTGAAAAAAAAAAAAAGAATACATCATACAACGACCGGGAAAACCATTTTTTGTGTTATATTGGAAAAAGCTTAACTATAATAATAATAATATAATTTTTATTATGAAAGCTTATGATATTCACAAACACAATTATTGGGGTAACGTTTTTGAGAGGAATTATAGCATGCATGCTAAATTATTGGTTTGTACATTCAGAGTTCACACAAAAAAAAAACAAACCTGTCCATATTGGCACACTCTATTTGAACAATAAATAATCAATATTTTAATTACTACAGAATTAAAATACATATCATGTTAGCTATACACTAAGTTTTATTCTCTACTGTGTACTGGTAATTTTTCGTTTTAATTAATTTTTTTTTTCGAGATTTACTGACAAAGCGGTTTCGAAAAAAGCAATTATAATTATAAAAACGCACAATATTAAGTGGGTAAAAAATAAATACAATACCCTTTTTTTGTGAAACAAAGCCGCGTTCGAGTTAGAAAAATAAAATCTATTTAGAAGTAAAACTATTTTACTGAGGTTCGATGGCAAATATCATTAGTATTGATTTATTATTATTATTTGTCTGAAGTCTTGAAAATAACAACTGAACAATAACTGTTAAAATTTGCAATTTATAATAACATAATTTAGATAACATACTTATAATAGATAAAATACACGTTTTGTTAAATATTATAATATTTTTATTTAAATGAAAATATTATTTAAGTATTTAAAAGAAATATGTTTAATGTGTGAACTGATATGAAAAATGTTATTTTTTGGTAGCCTAAGCCCCTCCCACTTGCATATGAGTGGTAGTAGTAGATGAATAACTTGCAGAATGAATGTTGAATGTTAATTTGTACTAGTTGTGATATTAAAATTTCCCCTCTGTCAAACTGTCGACTTGACGAATTCTTATAACGTAAACTTAATAGAAGAAAGTTAAAGAAGTAATAAATGCATTATGCCAGTGATTGGCACGAGGTTTGCCTAAGTACGCGAGGGTTGCCGCTGTCTACGTTGGCCGTTGCCTTCCACTAATCATTTTTTCAACAGTTGTCGGACACTACTTAATGAACAGGCAAATATGAGGGGGTTTTGGAGGGTTTTTTATAAACGATTAAATAAAATTATATAAATACACTATCTTTAACAGGCCGACCTCGCCCCCAACAGTAATTATCTCACTCGACGTGATTTAATAGAAAACATATTACTATAAGACGCGCCAAAGTGAACTATAATAAAACCGTAATGTATAATTATTTAATTTATTAATAAAAAATACTGTCCAGAAAATTGAAGAAACCACGCCTGACGGTTAAAGGCCCGTTATACTTATATGAAGTGAACTCGACATGAATAATATGTTGTGTGATTATGGTTGAGAACGGTCAGGTTGAGAGTAATATTTTATTAAGAAATTATATTTAACACTGCATAAGATAGTGGAAGTATGGACAAATTAATTCCGTAAAACGTTAATACATTTATAATTCAAAGCCTTAGTCAGCATTTATGTGCACCCAATGTATGGGGAAATCACCCCCAATTGAATACTAAAACATTTTGAGTTAGATTTTATGAGTAAAACGCTACAGTGCCACTATGTATAATATGCTTATACTAGCTTGCCCAATTAAAGTGGTGAGAAGAACCAAAAGAGTGTAATTCTTAGAGTAATTCAAATACAAAGTCAGTTAAGGTGCCCCCCGGTGCTGGTGGGTTTTTTTTTTAAATTGTAAAAGAATTTTCAATACTTGAAAGTTATGTAATTGAATTTTCGAATGCATATCTACTGTAATAAGTATAGATGTTAACTAGTTAATTGGGATTGTAAAAATGTAATTCACAAACTATAAAATAAAGGTTTTAGTAAGTGTTTATTACATATTTGTAATTGAACCTGTTCCCCATTATAGCAAAACAATTTTAAATTTATACCTGTATACTTGATGTATTAAACCTAACCTTTTCGGCGGCAATTCGTGTGTACCGCAAAAAAATTGTTCTAATTCAAAACAAAACAAAAATATATTTTTTTATGCAAAAGTAATCTATCCTGTCATGTTTTATGGTAATCAACAGCAGTGTACCATTATTATTATTATCATTATCACATACCTTGATTCAGGGTCGGACTTGTCGGGGCACTTGTTGCCTACGGCCGAGAGCCGGGCGCATCGTAGTCTGTCGGCCGCCGCGGTTATTACTGCCGCCAAGCGCCGACGCCACCGGAGCCGCCGCCGTCGCTGCCGCTGCTGCTGTAGGCCTTGCGGCGGCGGGGGCGGCCGCAAGGGACGCGGCGCGCAGTGGCGGTGTATCGGCGGCCGCGAAAATCTGGGTTGGCCGGCCGAGCGCAAGCGTTCCAGCCGGCGCCGGCCGCTACCGACCACCGCCGACCGGCAAATCCATTTATCACCGCCGCGTAACGATCACCGGCCCGTATCATCGTTATCACCATCATATCGTCGGCATCTACCTACCTACGTAATGCGTTAAACACCGCTAAACGCACGTTACAAGTACACGTATTGTATTGTCACGTATGCTCCACGTACCGCGTACGTCGATGGTACAAATCGCACTCGTTCCTGAAACGACAGAACGGTCCAAAATGCATAGCTTAACTTTAAAATGACTTTGTTTTATTTTTTATATAAGTTCAAAATAATATGTTCACCTGTCAGAATATCAATTGATGATTTTTAAGCGGCATTCGTTGTAGTTTTAACAAACAATGTAAATTTTGATTTAGTACTGTTTTCAGGCTCTCCTCTTAAATAATATACAGGTAGACGAATGCCATAATGTACTTTTTTTTTACAGGATTTTGATGATAACTCCCGCAGTTACCGATACTAACGCCAAAACATGCAGAGTATAGGTTTTTTTAGTAGTATCGGTATTTTATTCTCTAAACAGTTTTTAAAGTCAATTTTTGATTGCTCTGAAAATGTATTTGAAGCCTAATTCGATAACGCCGATAATAAGAAAAATTGATTTCGGATGTACAGAAAAAAGTCTGCACTCAAAGGGAAGGTTAGGTTAGTTTGAAATTGAACGGTTTAACACGAACCACCGTTTATGAAAAACACTGAAAAAACTTTTGAAAAATCAGTAATTAGGGTCGGGTGTGATGGTATATATAACGCCATATACTATTTCGTACAACTAACAGTATCAATACTAGCGCGCTGACATGGCCGCCAAACTGACCCACTCATCCAATGATTCCCTTTCAGCCCTGAACTTCTCATACTAAGACGTAAAAAGAACCATAGCCAAAAACATACAGGACCAATGGGAAATCAAATGGGTTAAATTAACATCAAAACTACACGAGATCAAAAGAACTACCTTCCCTTGGCCTTTCCCTGAGAACACCACAAGAAAACAGGAGACTTCCATCACTCGCCTCAGGATTGGTCATACCCACATCACACACCAACACCTCATGAAGAGAGAAGAACCCCCCGTATGCACCTGCTGCGGCACCCCCCTAACCGTCAAACACATCCTCACAGAATGTCGGAGCCACGACAAGGACAGAAGAAATGCAGACCTGCCAGACCAGCTCTCCGAGTCACTGAGCCCAGACCCACGCAATGTCAAAAGTATCTTAGAATTCATATATAATTCCAAACTAATTGACAAAATTAAAAAATGTAACTATTTCTATCATAAAATTACTTATTGTATAATGTCTAAGATTGTAAACTAATAATGTAAAATAATGTCAGTCCAATGGCCACAGCTGCCGTGGACTTTATTTAATAAATAAAAAAAAAAAGTATCAATACTACATTAACACATCTATCTGTGGGTAGAACAACACCCAAGAATTTTGTCAGGGTTGCACAAACAAAATTAAAACACTTGACACGATACACAGAATGCAAGTGCATGCATCTGCAGTATGTATACTGTGTTGGTTATATGTGTATTAAAATTATCGCGTTTTAGCGGTCGTCTCGTAAAACGTAGTATATAAGCACTTATATTTTATGTATTTTACATGTATAGTATATTTATGAAATATCCACTCGACCGGGCGGAAATGAGGTTGTTTTAATAATTTGTTCTTTTCCCCCGGCCGTCGCGATTCAAGGTCGGGTGAAAATGCCGTCTACGAGGCGCACGTGCGATCGATGCTCCACCTGCCCTCTGTCACACACTACCGCCCCTCCCCTTTTTTGGCCTCGCCACAGGCGCGCTTTACGTGTTTCGTTTGTTTTAGCCCCTTGAGTTCCTCTCGTGACCATCTCCGTCAAAGAGTTGGCGACCGCACAAACAACACAAACCGAGTAGAATATATTATTGTACAAAACGAACGTGACAAGAGGAGGTGAGAAATAAGACTCGCGTTTTCTTAACGACTGACTTGAGATATCCGGTCGTCCGGTTGGACTGCGCCGTACCTAGGGGTACCTACCTATATAACGCCATACTGCTATGTTATACTCGCAAACGTCGTATACACCGTATACTACTGCCGCACCTACCTGTTTACCCTCCCTCGGCCTCGATAGTAAACGTACAGGTTACAGAGGTGCGCACCGTGTATCCGACGAAGAAAATCGATGTCCCACTTTCCCGGCGGAACAACAGGGCTTGTGTTGTGTCGTCGCCGGCCAGAGGAAAAGCGCTTAGGTACGCTATACCAGCGTGCACTGTACACGAGCGTTTCCGCGGCCGAAGGTTTATAAAATAATGACCATTAGGATGTATAATAAAGTTTGGCACGGTAATGGGGTGTGTGTTTGTAAGTATAGTGTAACGTCGACAAAACTATTATCCCCCACGTCCCATAAAAAAAAAAAGACTTCAGTTGAGTAACAAAAAAATTTAAATATTTAGAAAATATTAAACGGCGTGTTGTGTAGGCAATATTGGTACACTCTGGTATACGTGCAAAGTTACAAACGTCTACACAAATTCAAAACAAATTGCGGTACAAACTCATTGTTGTTTTATAGTTGAACAATCGTTCACTAAAAGCCAGCACAGTAGGGTCGGTGAACAGTGGAGATGGATCATACCGGATATCTGGTCAGAATGGAATTTTACACTTTTTCGAGGGGATTTCCTTAATAATGAAAAAAGTTTGACAACAGATTTCGCAAATAAAGAAAAGTGTATATATTACAGCCGCACGCTAGATCTACATTCAGTCTAACTTTCAGACCTTATAAGCCCTAAAACTACACTTGGGAAAGTGAAATAAAGAAAAAGTTCCCACACCTTTTGGGATAAAGGGTTTTAATGAATCCTTAGAAACGCTATTCAAGTAAATTGGTTTACAAGAAAAAAGTTATCATGTCTTGAGACACAAAAAAAAAACAATATTAAAACCAATACTTTCTCCGCTTTGCACCGCACCTATAAAATATTGGCAAACAAAAACGTTATCACGGTACGGCTGGTAGCGAATAATAAAAACTTCAAAACTCATTTTAAAAAATTGCATTCTTGCACCGACTCCACAAAAACATATAAGTTAGTCCCAGAATGATTGTTTCGGTGCTCGCAGCCGAAAACTTTTAATTTGCTAAAGTTTCTAACTTGTTAAAAAACAAAAATTATTAAAGTATATATATATATATATTTAGTTTGTATTTTTGTAAAAAAAAAAAAAACACTTTTGAGTTGGATGAATATATAGACTGAATACAAAACATAACGAACACCCCGCTGCATCGTGTATTCAGAGACATGTACGCTCTTCTGTTTGCTTTTTTTTTTTTTTATTTGCATAAGTACAGTCTTTCTAGAGACCTTTTTGTCTTTGTACCAGGTCATATGGAGATTATATTATGTGCGCACAATGCATGCGATTCGTCTCAACGATCCAAGACTTTTTTTTTAAAAAAAAGAATAGTTCAAATTAAATAGACTGAGTTTATATTTTTATTTTTCAAGTGCGCATCTTGAATCATTTGTACAAAGTGTCCTTTTCAAGGAGGGCTCAGAAACAAATAGAACGACTCTACCTCGGGGCCTCTTCTTAGTTTTAATGATTAGACATATATATATATATATGTATATATGTTTTAAACTTGAGTCGTGGTGGGTAAGGTGGACGTCCAAACCTCCAACCACCCTTCTGTCCGTGGGTACACCACTTAAAGGTCTTATATTATATATTTTACATTTCGATAAGAAGGTCGGTCAGCAAAAGTTTTTGATTGCCCTAAAACTTTATAGTAAATTTGACATTTCAAGTTCAACAACCACACACCTATTATGATTAGAACTATAGTCTATACGTTTAGATTAGTTTTTATAGGTAATGCACGCTTTACTTTTATCAACCATTGTTTTTAGCTTCGATGCAAAGCGTGAAGGTATTGGTTTTACTCTGATGTGTGTTTTTTTTTTATCTGTATACACTGTAACTTTTTTAATACTGGACAATTCCTTCGAATAGCAACTCTATAAATCAAAAATTTGATCTAGTTAGTTCTTCACAGACGAAATTTGAAAAAACAAAAAAAAACAGTACGAGTTTTTAAGTTACACACTGTAACTTAAAAACAGATAAAAAAAAAGCCTACACGATATGTTATTGCTTTAAAATTAGGTCAGTTGTAATACAATTTTAAAACATATTATTTCTTGGTGCTCACATGCATAGCTTTTGTAGGAAGTCTAGACGGTACCGTGTTTTTTTGTTTCATTATTTGTTCTTGACAATTGAGTACATAATAATACTTTGGTATAAAATACATATTTAAAAACACCTTTACATACGTAGACTAGTGTAAAATATGGCGTCAACTTATGTTACGATAAACCACAATAGATTTACAAGACAAACATGACTAAACTTTTTGTAGACAATATCGATATTATATTACTATCGAAAATGTATAGGCTTAAAATGTATAGACAATAGCGGATACACTAACTGACTTTTGAAATAAATAAATAGTTCCAATTACTGTGATCTGTAATGGTTTATAATATAATTAATAGTATAAAAGATACTAACTCGAGGTCAATAATGTTTCAACTAACAGACAAAAAAATATATTTAAATGTCCATTAAATGATTAGTGTAATTTCAACTCAACGTGTAATGTATGAATTTAGAAAATCCACTCGCACACACTTTAGGTGATTAGGCATGAAATGACACAATAAAAACATTTTCTATGGAGTATAGATATTAAATAATCAAAATGAATTAAATATATATAATTGTAAATTTGTTATAACTTATAAAATTAAACAATTGACACTGCTTACCGCATCTTTATAGATATTTTATAATAAAGAACAAAAAAAAAAGGAGGACTCGGCAGTAAAAGCAAATAGTTTGAATAGATTAGATAATAAAATATAATTTTACTTGTTTAGTGAATATTATTTTTATTGAGAAAAGGTATATGTTATGGACATAGGTATTATAATATGTTTGATGGATAACAAAATGTGTTTTTTGGAATATATTGTTATAAGAAAAATCTAACGGTTCAGGCACAGTTATAATAAACAAATGAAATGATAATTGTACAATATACATCCAAATATAACAAATTAGTTAGCATCTTTATACGATTTATATGATATAGAATACTAAGAACTGTTTATATATTTTATGAATTTAAACAATAAATCCTATAAAAGATATATATCGTAATCAATATTATTCAGATAAACGATGAATGTGGAATTTATTCACACATAGCAACCTGGAAATTTAATTAAAAGTGTAAATTTTCCCAATTTATTTGTGGTTTTTCCTTAGTATAAAAAAATTTGACTAGAGATTATTAAGGCGATTATATGTGTGATATGGCTACAGTGAACTACCTTATCGTCTAATTTTCTGACCTTAAGTTTCTAATTATCCTATAAAAAGTTATACACAGAGCTTTTGAATCGCCAGACAAATTTCTTCGAGTAACATATTATCTCAATAGATCACACATCATGCCGTGCCCTTTCGACAGTAGCCTTAATTTTTAAATTTACTTTTCCCTCTTCCCCCATAAATTGTCTTTTTTTGTTTTATAGACGTAATTTTAAGACCTTATATTTGATAATTAGTCAGAAGGTAGGGCTCATGTTTATCTATAACATGTTGAACAGGGGAAAAAATCAGCACTAGAAATATTTTTTTAATTGCCAAAAAAATGTGTTTTTTGCAGATGTGAATTTTAATACAAGCCCGTTATAGCTTCGAAAACATTTATCAATTCAAGTCAATATTTTTATATATACCTATTTAAAGTACTCTTATTTAGTTTTTTTAATTTAAATTTATTTTAATAATAATTTTTTTAGCCGGTAAATCCGCTGATCCGACTTTTTCATGTAGAATGTTTAGAAATCAGATCGTACCCGAAAAAAAACTTTGTTAAGTCAAAAATGTAAAAATTTCACCCTTAACTTTAGTTTTCAAACATTAAGTTTTTAAACTGTGCCAAATAAATACAATAGGTAAATGGTTTTTTCTGGGTTCAAGACTGTGTAGATCTGTATTTAAAACTGTTCTAATTATTTTTCACAACATTATTGCAAGCTGTATTCAAAAATTGTAAAATTGTTATTCTTAAAAAGTTGTGGTTATGTATGGACTAAGAAGAAGTGTTTGGTGTATCGATATCAAACTAAAATAAAGAAAATGCCTAAATTGATTAAACTGTTAAATTGTTTAACTTGTTTTAAAAATGTATAAGAAACCTTAGCCATTAGTGCATTATGATAAAATAGACTCGCATTGTTAAACAATATGTTAAAACAACACGGCAATATCAACAGATTTAATTATTTCGGACATTGAACAGATTTTGTTAATAATTTTCTAGTCCTTTATGTTTATGATATTAACTTAACTTTAGGTCTTTAAATTTAACTGTTTCAGTGTAACCTATACATTTTACACCACAAGTGTGAAAAAAATTACTCATATAGGTCATAAGTCACTTTGCTACAAAACTAAATAAATAAGTTGCTAAAACAGTAAAAAATGTTTGGCTGTAGTTTAAACTAGGTTCTAGAACCAAAAAGCATAAATTTTGCGTGTTGTTTACACGTTTTATTCGTAACAATAGTATTCAATATGTACTTCATTCGGCCAAACATATTTAACAAACAATGAACACATACACAATAACGATACATAAACTATTTAAATATGTACACTCCGTTGGCCTACAAAATAAGACAAACATATCTCTCTATATAATGTAAGTAGCAAACGTACTGTTGCTACATTATAGTATTCTACATTCTTGGAGTTAATAATAATAACTACTGAATAAAAATGAATTTTAAAAGCTTAACTTTTATGTTAGCCACCATATTTTGCATAATGGTGTCCGTGTATGCGGGTAAAGATGATCCTCCACCTCCTCCAGCTCCAAGTTCAGCAGGTATAAAAAACATTTTTAGTATATCATTTTGTATAATTTTTTTTTTTTTTTTTATAGCATCTTCGACCAACAAAATTATTTCACTTATTTCGAATACTGTTGTTGTTTTTACCAGATTTTTCGACTTATTTATGAAATTTTACCTTTTTTATACCTCTTTTCATTTTGTTTTCTAAGCGTTTTTATGGAGATCCCAATTTAAAAACATGTACAAATTATGTAATATTTCCTCAGCTTTCTGATGAAAATATTAAAATAATTCTCAACCTAACCATACATTTGTTTTTAAAAAAATGTCAATTTCTGATTTATAATAACCTTTGGATTTTTATATTAAGAAAATGTACATCGATTAGATCAAACAAAAATTTACAATTTTCTGAATTTTTTGTAGTTGAGTTCACGAGTTTTTTTACAAACTTAATATTTTTTTTATGAATGTAGAAAAATATCGACCTAAAAATCCATTTAAAACGAATATATATTAAAACAACTGTGTATGAATAAAATATTAAAGTAATTTTTTTTGATATTTTCAGGAGCAGGTTTATATGTTTCACCACAAATACCAGTACTAGCAACTCCACCACCACCAAAAAAGTCAACTGGTAAGTTTTGAGACTTTAATAAAACTTATATAGGTTATAAATGTGTAATTCAATATGCAATTTTATCATTCGTTTTTCAAATGACTGTAAGTTGAATGATAATATATGTTTTTGTGCATCACAAACCAGTTACTAGATACTAGCTGTTTTTTTAATTATTTTCAATTAAGCTGAAAATTTTAAACTATTCTATTTAAAAAAAATGTATAAACATTTTTTTTATACATTATAGTCTGGTAATTTAAAATCACATTTTTTCGAAATTAAAACAATGGATAATAGTAAATCCTAAGATTTTTATTTAAAATGGAGACACCTTGTACTTATTACCTTTATAGAGGAGTCTAACTTAAATAAACCATTTTTTTAAACAATATTTGAATTTTTTTTTAGCTAAATAACAACAGTTAAATTTACCGACAAAGCTGCAGTATCCAAGATCTGTGTCACATTTTCAAAATTGTAAATTGTTCATCTTTGTTTATCATAATTATGATGTTTCAACCTTCAGATTTTTCTAATAACAATGTATTCTAAATAACATATTCTGTTACCTATCATATAAATTATATTATGTCTATTACATATACCAATAAAAATAATGTTCACCGAATAAGTAAATTTGTATTTTATTATCTAGTCTAATACTACAACTATTTGTATTTTACATAAAAGTATTTATTACTTTTGCTCCGGTCTAGTATTTCTATTTTATTTTAATGGTCACCCTAAAGAAAGAGGTCGAACAAATGTAACAATGTAATAAAATGTATCGTTAGCTTTTGTGTTAACAGAAGATTTGAATCGAATTGAAAGAATCCAAATGTCTATTTGAAACATGAAAAGATGAATCGATATGACGCATTTTATGTGTACGTGATATGTACTTTTTGTACCTCGTCTCAGTATGGATAAATCATTTTATTACATTTTTGTAATATTACTATTAGTATAAATGATTTATATATAATATTATTTTGTGCATAACATTTTGTATAGCACATATTATATGGTGAGTATAGTTTTATCCGAGAGGACTAGTACAGTAGAGTATAGGCGTCTGTCTGGAGAACTGTTATTATTCAAGTAAAAGTTATTTAAATAATTTCAAAACAAAATTATTCGAATAAAAAATTATTTGAATAATTATTATACTTATTATTTAAACAGTTTGTAAGTGTTTTAGTCGAATAAGAATTTGTACAACATATATATATATATATGATCAGACTTCAGGACTTAAAACATTCGCCTGCTTTTTTGGCATGACATAATATAATCTAGCAGAGTGCTATAGAATTGTATATGTCGTGCCACGACTGTTTCATGTTTGAAATTTGAAAGTGCTTAAATTGACTTATTTCTGAGGTTTTCCCAACAACAACAAAAAAAATACATTTTTTTCTAAAAATTGTTCACACGAGATATGTATTATATATCCTTTGAAAACATTATTCTTTGAAGACAGTTTTTAGCAATATTAGAAAAAATATACTCAACGTAGACATACGTTTATGAATGATATCATATATACATTTTTTTTTTTATAGTTTGGGGCGTTAATTTTTTTATAATTGCTGAAGGATTTGTTTTACGTATATATTAATGGCTATTAAGTGCTTACAATGGAGGTTTAAAAAACATAATATATTGATGATACTTAACGCGTTAATTCCTGAACCTGGCTGCAATAATATTGTAGTGTAGTTCCTGTACGAAATTAATTTTCGCTCAGAATTCACCTCGATTCGCAAGCGATAAACTCAACCTTTCAACAGCAAACTGGTAAAACTAGTGGTTTGGCGATAAACACAATATATTTTATATAATAAACTATAATATTGTGAAAATACAATTTGGTGGGCCTGATTATATATAATTTTTTTTTTTTACCGTCAAGGCTGTTATCAATGACAAAAAAAATACAAAAAATTGCACGACCATTATTATGTTTTCAATATCGAAATGTGTTTGCTATAAATTACAAAATGAGCTTGAACGTAACACGTAATATAATATAACAGGTATAATTAACCTCTGGACGGGCTTATGGGAAAAACTATGATGTATAGTGTCTTCGCGGATGGAAACATATTGTGTGCTCACACACTTAACGCTTTGGAAAAAGCCAAGAAGACACATCGCCCAAAGCCACGCTGTCACAAATTTAACAAGGCTTTAAGGTACATACCTAACGCGTTTCTAAATTAATTTACAGCCGCCTCGTCAAATAAACCCGCAGACACGCCAAACAAATTCGCTTTCTAAACATAAATTATATTGTTTTATTTACCGCGTCGGAAACGTGTTTACGGGTTTATCCAAGAACGGTTTTACGGCTTATTATATGTGTGTGTGTGTGTGTGTGAACTGTATAAATATATCTAAGACTATCGTGATGAGTATTCTAGATAAAACGGCGCATATAATGTAAAGAACATATAATTCTGGGCGGTTGATCAGAGTTGGTCATGTATCAGCGAGATCTAGTAAATAATATCATATCAATGAAACAGACAAAAACAATCTTTTATCTCTTATCTCTTCTCGCTTATCTCTTATCACGTATATATATAATCTCTTATCTCTAACTCGAAGTGAAATTGTAACGCGAAAATGGAAAGCGCATAGTGATTGCTGTTTTTGAAAAAACAACGGCGTAACATCATTTATTCCATAATAAAAATCTGATAAATCGTTCACGTTCTGCATGCCAAATTTGTTTTTTGTTTTACTATCTTATATCACCGGTTTAAAAAAATTGATATCAACAATATAAAGTCAGAAACCATCATCGAAAACCACTAAACATTGTTAGATACGGTAAGTGTGATAACAAAACGAAATCAAAATGACGGCCTCCGAGGTGCCCCACTTTTATTATATGGAATATAGGTATACATCATACGTTTTCCATGTATAATATAGTTCAGTGATCCAACCCAAAAACATATCCACGTTAAAATCTAACGACAATTATTTATCGGTAAGTACGTTTTTAATATATCGATAAATTCGTGTACAATCAACGATTGAGCGTATTGTGGTGAATCTTAGCAATAAAATTCAATTGTTTTCAAAACAAAATGTCTTTACACAACTTCTAAAAAAGCGGTCAGGTTGTGGCGTCTTCATATATAAAATCATCGGTTAGCCGTTTATGTAAACAACAACTATACAAATCCATCATTTGTATGTGTGTGTTTTGAGTAAACGACCGACACGGAAACGACAGCATGTGTTTTTAACGATTTATAATGTTTATTCGAGTCGGTCGTCACTTCCATACGGAGTCAACCGTGAACTCATTAAAAGTATATGCACCCAAACGAAATGTCATGCACAAAAAATCATGCGTACAATTTATTATAAAAAAATATGGTAATGTGAAGATAAAATAAATATTAATAATGTATACGGTTTGTGTATATAAACGGCATGAATGCGAACCCTCGTATATCCACCTGAAAACCACCCGTTTCGTTCCAGGAATCGTATTGTATGTCCCGGTTCCGTTTTATAATAAAACTGTGTACATTAGGGCTGCAATAATTATACTCTTTTTCCAAATGTTTTAAACGTAGAAATACACATATTTAAACATCCGTATCGTTTGTTTTACAATTATCATACCACTATTAAAAAAAAAGAAAAAACATACATTAGATGTTTTTTTTTTTTTACCATACAAAGCCTTCCCCAATTCCTAGTATTAACGGTACGCTATATAAGTGTTGACAGGTATTTTTTAAGCACCATCGAGTATTTTCCCCGGAAGGACTTCGTGCAATACTACAACTAATACACGGCTAATTTTATCGAAAGGTCTGTAATCGAATTACCCCGACTGTCTGTACTGTTACATTAAAAAAGTACAACGATCATTGGGGTGCATGATTAAAGTATACCAAGTTATTGCATCTTTATCCTCCTCTTCGTCAGAGCGTTAAATGTAAATAACAAAACGCAATAACTACTAAAATGTCAATTACTATGTACAACACATAGATGAGTTATAATATAATTGTTTTACAATATCATATATATTATACATATACTACTAGTTTACTATAGCACAATAATAGGTAATGTATTAGGTTGCATATATGATATAACAGAGAAACAGTTGTAATATTAATAGTGACGACTATATATTGACAAGGTATTGTGTTGCTGTACATAATATATATTATATTGAAAATTAAATGTTATTCTAGTTGAAAGCCGAACATATTTCATTTGTATTGTGTTTTTGATACAAACACACGGTAGACATATTGCTTTTGTATTTTTACTGACAAAATATAATATAAGTATATTATGTATTGGCTATAGTCTTAAGTAAGAAGATTATAGATTATCAATCAAATGTATTCCTAACAGAAATCATTAAGCAAATACCATAGTATCCATGTCTTCAGTTACATAGTACCTTTGGTAATTTAATATCATTAATCAATCAAACGAACACTAATTAAACATGGGTTATACATTTTTCTACAACGCAATCATTACTCATAGTCTTTTTAAAAACACTACACTGTTTAAAATATAGTGCGTTGCCACTTATTATAGTCACAACTCTGAACAACGGGTACACAAATATAGACATGTTTGACCTAAAAACTACCATGAATCGTATTGTAAAGAGTTTTAATTACTCGTTGACATGTTCATCAAAATATATTTTTTTTTAAAACCAGTACATTTTTAGCAAGTTTTAGACTTACATATACCTAGTTGAGATGATTCCCATATTGGGCCCGAGAAAGTCGCAGTCTTTAAAAACCATTATATTATAACTGAAAGCAATGCCAAAACACTAACCAAAACGCCAGACCGATTTGTATGCGTCGAGTCCAAAGAACACTTCCGAAAAAAAAAATTTGGGAATCCACAGCTATCAGCCACTCAGACACAACCTAAAAACCTACACTAGTGTATGTATACAGTAGACACAGGCAAACGTTTCATAGTATTTGCCAGCGCACGCGAATATCGAACGACTCGTGTTAGCTATGCATTTGTTGCAAAGAGAGTTTCTAATTTTCCGACCGATTTGACAAGGTGGAAAAGTCAGCAAAAAAAAAAAAAACACTATAATAACCATAAAAACTTCTATTATTGTGACCACCGTCGCAGTGCGTGGCAAAAACGATTTCCGTCGTCCAAAGTGGTTTTTTTTTTTTCCAGTAATTTCGTTGCACCGAGCATCCAAACATTCTCTACTTTAACCTCAGCTTTTGTACCCCCCCCCCCCCACTTCTCTCTCTCTCTCTATACCCTACTCAAAGTCCTTTCTGTCATCCATCCGACTTGGGCGGCGAACGTGCCGGCAGTATATGGTGCGTACAAAGGCGCAAAGACTGATGTCTAACGTTATTATGTATATTAAACCTGACCGGTGCGACCAGGGTTTTGCGGAAACGAATCGAGTCGCACCCCCCCCCCCGCTCCTTTTTGGCTCAACCGCGAAGACCCGGATTGCCTTTTATTTATCGAGAAAAATAATACGGTATTTGTATTCTGCAAACTACACGGTCGTGTGCCATAATCCCTTTGCGGTATAATCGTAGATCACGAAATCCGCGGCCCAGAAACGTCGATCCTCGCTTCGACATGATTTGCACATTGTTAGATTTGGAAGAATTCTTTCTCCCCTGTCCACGTAGGGATAACATTCTTAGAGTACAAAATATGTAAACAAGGTGTTTTTTTTCATAACACTACGGTATACGATACCAATTTATGCCAATTTCTTCCATTCTCGTTCCTTGTACCGCTTCTACATAATAATATCGATGTGTCTGCCATCTGTGTGATCTTTGTGCTGAACTTCTAATACGAGCGGTACAACACCAAAATATGTCCTCTGCCACCATTTCCTATCATTTTCCTCTATCTATTATACCGCTTTTGGTATGTCTTACACGGTCCGCTGTTAGCCAAACCTTATTGTTCTTATGATTTCTCACTGATCTCTCAATTATCGCGTCATGGACGTTTACCCACATTGATTTCTGTCACAAATCCCTCGTATTGAACCAATTTAGGTCAAAGCTGCTCTGTTGTCTTCAAACGTTCTCTCCCTCTCACGTATTTGCACAGTGACAATAACAGCTTGTCTGTCAATAAATTTGTTATTCGGCCAATCTAATATACTAAGTGAGACCTATACATAAATACTGGAACCGTTTGATACTTTTCGACCGTCTCTGCTCACGTCCGTGGGCTTTGCTCGGTTAAACAATATAACGAAATACAAATTGAAAAACTCGGTTTTCGAATTACAAATCAGTCGATATTGTTTTCGCGGAAATACTTGTGTACTCAAACGTTGTTTTGGGAAACTTTGTTTTCTTAAAACACACAATGACCGTCAAAGAAACCGCATCTACGACGGAAATAAGAGATTTTTTACATTTTAATAACAACTCGTTCAGGGGAAAAGATTTACACGTGCAGTGCAGGTACAGAGCAGTGGTGGTTTTTGGCGCATGACAGAATCGTTTAAACCACAATTTTTTTTTTGGGGGGGAGGCGAGGGGCACCACCGTTGTGCTATTATTATTATTATTTTGATAATTTGGTCGGCGTGCACTGAGCGTTTTTTGTTTATGGCTTTTCCCGGAAAATCCTATTTTAATATTCAAAACGTTCGTACATATATATACATATACCTAACCGTATTGCGATTACAACGGTTCCGTTATTATTATTTTCACACTATTATATTGTATTATAATATATATACCTTCGAAATGTAGTTTTTCCCCCTTTTTTATTTCGCCCTCGTGTCATTAATTCACGTTTTATTATCCAGACCCAGTAATATACCGTGTAGGTACACCAACCTGTGTGTATAATATACAAAATAATGTTCATACATCGCGTCACGACCATTATACGTATGTATACACTTATTATTGAAAACGGCAAACTTTCATCTTTTGGAAATGCCGAATTTCAATAAAGACCCAGACTACACACGATAACTAGTGTGTGCTTGACGTTTCTTTATGCTTAAAAAACAACATATACCTACCACCGATATCTCCAAGCTCTCGTCTTTTGAGCTCCCACAGAATTTCAGTAAAAATTAAAAACCTTACTCGGGGTTGTGCCTGTTTGGTTGCTGGCTCTCTTTTTTTTTTTAGAGCTTGAAAACATGTTTAATGAGGATTTGCTGGCTCACCTTCTATTTGCATCAATGCAACGCCTATCTATACAAACATTTTTAAAAAAAACCGTGGTTTTTCGGATGAATTTATTTTAAAAATAATATAGTCTAAAAAAACTTTAGACACTAAAATCATAACTATTGCGGACGGGCCACCGAGATTCGTTCTTGACGGGTCTATGCGTGTATTGTCTGTATAGGTATTGTGTGTACGTATAGCTGATAAAGACATGTGTTTTCAGTGCGAACCGGAGACGTGCGGGCTTTTGTCTGCTACTCCGGCAACAATAGGGGAAACTTGTGTCTAATCGTACACACACACACACGCATGCACACAATATATATATATATATTATATTGTAATAGTAACAATATAATAATAATATATGAATTTCGCCCGTTTCCGCTTCCCGGCCCCGACGTGATAGTATAATATAATGACTAGCAACCGTGTTCGCGGCACGATGAAGTTATATTACCGCCCAGCTTAACCGTGTTAGGTAGGCCGACGTGAAAGGAATTCCGAAACAGCTGTCTCGCCTGCAGTAGTAGTAACCCGGCTATAACTATATACAAGACCGCAAGTTCAAAGACAATTATTATTACAAATAAACGAGCAGCGTCGAGTCCGGAAAACAAAAATGATCTAGCCAAGTCAAAGATAATTCCACGAAAATATGTGCCTATAATTTTATCAATTATTCGGATTTTGTTGTACTATTATTTCGATCCAAGTTAAATAAATAAAACGACCGTCACAAAACGCGTGTATACGTTTATACAACTTTATTTGGCATATACTTTTGAATGGTTTTGTATATGAAAACATTTTCCAAATAACTTCATCGAGATAGAATCATTTCCCCGTCATGAGTGTTAGGTGCGAGATAGAGCATTTCTAACGATGGACTGAAACCCAAGATGTATTTTGTGCAGGGGCGAATGTTCTTCATTTATCAACGCTACTCTCGCCAATTAATTTTAAGAAATAGTTAACACTAAGATCACTTTATCCAGGTGAACGAGTGTTATCACCATAAATAATATATATGATGGGAAGGTTCACATCATTTTTTTACCTTCCCCTCTGCAGCACACTATTCTTTAATTGCAAAAATTTTAGTAATCAAAACCGAGATATACGCGCCTTTAACAAAAGTTAGTTTAATGAAATAATTTTAAATTGAGTTACATAGCTCATAAGTTAAATTACATTTTCCTGTAAAACTATGTCAATTTAAATGTTAAAATATTACTAAACAACCTAAAGGTACGATTATTGAACGTCGGATTTTTTTGGAAAACTTATACCTTTAAAAAATGATCTTTTGCAATAACACAATATATTATATTGTTCACATATTATATATATTAATTTTATCCGATTAAACTGACAACTCGCTGTAGTTTATTTAGTTTTTAGAGTTGTGTACAAGTTTTGGTTGGAATAGAGAAAAATGTTTCGAACAAAGTTGGCACCTCATAGTTTTTCGTACGTGATTGGACGTCGCGAGTATTCCAAGTTTTTGACAAAAAAAAAGTCGTTAAAAAAAGTATTTGAGAGAAATACCCAGCCAATATATCATATTATTGGCCGACAAAATACTGGCGGGCTAAAACGGATATAGATCAGACGTACTTAAATTAAAAATATCTGGCTAAAGTATTTTTATGATCATACAATGTACCTCTTATGTCATCATACCTATTTAACTGTGAGCACAATCGATAATTAATGAGAATATGTACGAGGGCACCTTTCTGTCACACAACATTCATAATATTGTGTCTAGTAGGGTTTAAAACATTTGTACAGGCTAAATGATAATTTGAACAGATAGACATTTTGAAATCGCAGTGGTCGCTTATGAAAAAAAACCATTTGACTTACATTTTTTAAATGTTTTTCTTAAGTAATTTAAATTCAATTTATATGTGTTTTGAGTGTCGCGAGACTTTGTATTTGCATTATCATTAAATATCAAACTCAAAGCCTATAAACCTATTTTTATTTAAAATTTAAGAAATACCTTCTATGATTAGCTTAAATTACTTAAAATATTTATTTGCGTACCTTTCAGCCCCTCCCCTATTTGAGCCGCTGCCGATATGCCCTTTGTCACACTACTTACTAAACATTTTCATTACTAGTTTTCCGCAAGCTTTCATTGACTCATTAGTTTTATACCCGTATAATTTACACATTCTTGTTCATCTCCTTTATTCTGACAAACTGGAAGTATAAATATCACTCACTATGCCTTATGTTCTATTATTGTAACATTATTTTCTGGACTATTTTCTTCTACAGAACACACCTATATCTTATTGGGAAGTTTTCTATTTGATAAAAATAAAGTAATATTTGTAATATTGACATGGGAAAGGTGTTGATATATTTATCAAAGTTGTCTTGTTGCCGGTGATCACAGGACATAGATCTTGTTGCTTTTGAGCGCTTTTTCCACAGTTGCAGAGGCCAGTCTGGTGCGCTCGTCATCCGTCACCCGCACAAAGTCTAGACTGGCCAGTCGAGGCAGTAGACGGATGACGGTGACCCGGTAATCGTGTACCGAGGCCACCGGGTTGTTTTGCAGGGTGAGCGTCCGCAGCGCCGGTAACCGCCTGAGCTTACCGGCCACGCACACGCTGGTCACCGCGTTGTCGTGCAAGTACAACGTTCGTAGGTTCGGGAACAGGAACAGCTCGTCTGTGACGTCGGTCAGCCTGTTCCGGGACAAGTCTAACCAACACAGAGCGTCGGGCTGCACTAGCAATGCGTTGACCAACGCCCGGAGTCCGGACAGCCCTTCGTCGCCGGACAGCCGATTGTCGTTGAGCAACAGCGACGCGGTCGCGTACCGGTTGCTGTTGATTTGCCTGACCGGTAATCCTAGCATTCGGTAAGCACTCGGCGCGTCCTTATAGTTTTCGGACGACCAATTGTAGAGGTTGTCCAACGCCTTGAACGACAAGTCCAACGGTTTTGCGCGTTGCCATTCAAAACGAATGTTTGTTTTTGTTTCCATCGGTTGTTTTTTTTTTTATATTTGTTTATTATTATGTTATTGTTATTGTAACGTTGCACGTGAACGACGACATCACAAAAGAAATCAGCTGGAAAACCTGTCAATAACTACATATGTATTTAAAATGTACTCAATTATATAATACTATGCCTACTATTGTAATGATAAAAATGTAATATGTGGTTAAAGCGGGTGAAAATTGATATTTATAAATGGGTGATTCGAAAAAAACCTTAATTTAATTTTGTTGTGTTCTTCTCTTTAGAATATATTATTTGGATAAAAAGAACATCGTTGATAGACTTTTTAGATTTTTAAAACAATTTCTAGAGGTGTCGGTTTTATGTCGAAAGTTCAATTTTTTTTTTGTTCAATAAAAAATGCTTTAATAAAAAATAAAAGGTACATTCTCAAATTCAATCAGGCAATTCTTAACAATAGCTAAACAATATATAACAAATACTTATATGACAACATTTATAAATTTTCTAACTACGGTTTTGGCAACGGTAAAACGTTGTTGTTCTTGTATTTTTAGAAATAACAATACCGGCGGTAAGCCGAATAAAATTCATAATGCTAAATAAGTTAATGGCCCAAAATATGTTTTGCCGACACTAGCGATAATTTTCAGACCTCGGTGCTCGTAAACTCGACGGGTTTATTAGTTTTTCTCTAAACTGTTTATTATCTTTAACAATTGTTTCGAGTGACTATAATCATATCATTTTAATATTGTTGGACGGCCGAGCGAAACTTTTAACACACAAACTTATCGTCGGCTGCATCAAAAACATTAAACTGATCCCAGGAGGAGAATCGTGTTTTAGTAGTTTCTTATTATATATTATATATATATATAGAGTTACTTAAGGCGCTATAGTTTACAAAAGTTATGTGCGGTACATACAAAACGCATATGCCGGCAGTGCACGTCACGGTTAGGTGTTTGCGCCACACTACTGACAGCCAACTCGAAATTAAATACTACCGACCTTAAGATAAATCCTAAGACTCCCCCTCCCCCTCCATTTCGATCCAGTCGCAGTGAAAGTCCTTTTGATTATTTTTCCATCCGATTTCAAATCGGACGGAAAATATTTAGCGATAAACGGTAAATTCAACGCTAAATTTTAATATTGTCGTGTGCATATATAGTGGCCGCCGACCTTGGAAGAAATTCGGCCTCGGTTGGCAATCGATTTTTGGATTTTGAAAAACCGACTGCATACGACAATATTACCTATAATACACAATATTGTAAATACCGCGCAAAACAGGAATTAGGCGACCGAGTTTGATGGAAACGACGCACGTGCCAAACAGCTTTTAGGAAATAATTTTGTTTTTTGGCCTCGATCACGGCGCGCAACAGGTATACACAACTCGCGTGTCTACTTATGCAAATATTCGCTCTTTGTTTTTACCGTTCCAAACACGCACGGAAATGATCAATGCACACAACATCATCTCCATCCGGTTTAAAAGCGTATTGTTAAGAAAATCATTAAACTTTTTAAGGGTATTTTCGAGTCGGCCGGTTTCCAATAAGGAATTGGCAGTTTAGTTTTTTTAATATTTGTTGAACCAGAACCCGGCTGAATGGTATTTGGGTCGAATACATTGACTTGATTTTCGAGTCTTTTAAAATAGATCAAAATCTCTCAAATTTTACATTCACTTATTATAATAAAATTACTCTAAAATCAAATAACTATACCCTTTGCAGAGATAATATTAAAGACCAGTGTATTATTCTTAAAAATGATGATTTTGTGATGATAAAAATAATGTATAAATTAAACCCAGAAAATTATTGTTTAATTAAATTAACTGTTATTGCATTTTTAACTATAAATGATTTGTTTTTAAAACCTATGCCAAGTAGAAGTGTAGGAGTTTTTTCTGTTAATACTGATCATATGTCTAATGATTATGATATATTGTTAAATATCATTAAATTTAAGTGTTTTTTTTATTAATTAACTTACAAATAAACAAGCAGTTGTAATTAAATTATGTCATAGTATTATAATAAACTCGATAGTAGTAAAATTTGTGTTTTATTTTATTCTTTAAACGATATTATATAAAATGTGATTAGTATTCTTATTTTTTAATTATTATATCAAAACGTAAACCTAATTCATAGTTCTATGATATTTCATGCACTGTTACAAACAACATGGCATATTGCGTTTATGAGATGTTTTTGGAACTCCAATGGAAGTTAGGTAGAAACGTTTCTGAGTACCCTGGGAACTTTAATTTTACATAGCTGTAACGATTCTTTGCACGGTGAGGTACACTTCACAAAAATGTAAAATTTAATACAATTTTTCAGCCGAGTCTGCAACCACGAAAGAGCATTTTCATGTCTCGTTGAAGTACCAAATAATTTTGAAGTAGTGGTGGAATTATAGATAATAATATAGTATATTAACAAGCAGCAACAAGCTAATATCTAAGGTGGCTAGTATATTAAAACATCAAGTTTCTGGCTAATATTTTAGTGTTTAATATCTGGCTTGAAAACATTTCATAAAAATATGACCTCTTAAATTATTGAATTCAATTTAGTTCAGATCTAGTTTGAACGTTGAGAATACAGCATAGTCGGTGAAACTTTCCAAATTATTTTCTTTTTTGATTTAGTTCATGTACCCATTTTCTTTTTTTTCGTCTTGCTTGAATCAAGGCAAGCAGAAGAAGCAAATCTTCTTTGTCAGAAGAACTGCTAGACATTTTGTAAAAGAAAATGAAAACAGAAAACGTGAGATTAAAAAAAATAAAAAATAAAAAACAACCAGCAGTACACTCTTGGTTGTGGCAGTTTTCAACCTGGTTCGCTCAAACTTGTCCGCATTCTGTTTGACCGATCCTTAAAGACAGTAAAAAATGCCTTTCAACCCTTCCCTGCATGATTTTTTTTTTATTATTTGTATAAAACTTTAGAGTTTTAGTTTTTTCATTAATTACTCCCTTCGCTGCTTGATTTTTTTTTGTTCAAAAAAATGTTTTGCTTTGAAAGTACCTAGGTACCTACTTCAAAAATAGGAACAATTTTTTTTGAGTTTCATACCCGCGAAAACACCAAATTTTGAATTGTTTCAAATATGGAACGTTGTGCAGTGAAGGAGGTTTAAGCACATATGTGAATAAATATTTTTTTAGTGACATTAAGCCAAACGACATACACTTTTTAGGGAAAATATTCATAAATTCATTAGAAATCCATTTTTAAAAATTGTTTTCGAGCGAGTTAATTTGTTGTAATATTATGGATGGATTTTTATTTCTTTAAAAATACAATATTTGAATCATTTTTAAAACATTTTGTGTAACTCGTGTTGATCTTCTATTTGAATTACTAGGTAAATAAGAAAAATACATACATTTTCGACATATTAAATTAAACAACAATTGTGTACATATGTGCATTTTTATGTGTTATGCTGCAAAACGTGTAATTATATTTTGGCGGTGTTTATCTATACCTAAGTATATAAGACTACTTATATGACTAACTCATATAAGCGACAAAAAAAAACCTTGACGGATTATATAAGTTTTGAAAATATTTTCGTACTTATTAATTTCAGTACCTACTCCAAAGTTATAAAAATAAATACGAAAGTCTATAAGTACAAAATAAGTCAAGATTTCGTTACCTAAAAATAAAATCTAGTTTTCTCAAAAGTAGCCTGAATGTTCCTTGAAATTTCACACCATGTCGAAAACAATTTTATTTATCCTTGTAAAATCATGGTGATTTAAATCAAAGAAATCGGGAAGAAATGAAATTGCATATCGAAGCTTAATAAAAATACATAAAATGTATTTAAAATTAAAAAATCCCGACCATCTTAATCTTTACTTAATCTATCTTTCACCGTTCAACCCACTACTTCACCACATCTACAGTGTTATTAATTACCTACTCCACTCCTTCATTCTACACCGACCACTATAAACCCGTCTACGCTAATACATCTTTTAACCGCGTTTTTACCACCATTATTATTTTCAGCTATTAAGTCCATATCATTACATTCTACCATCAATCCCTCTCTTTTCCTACTTCTATATGTATATGCTACTTTATAGATCTATCTAACTACATCAAACAGATTTTTATATTGCATTATATACTAGAATTATTGTACTCTTGAGATAGAAAGTTGATTTGTGTATAAATAAATTTGAATAACTCCACATGACATGTTATCCATCTCGGGATGATGTTACATATTTTTCGTTCATCCCTTAATCAGATTGGGACACTCACCCCCGTGCCACTTCCCTCATTCATTCTACTTCGCTCGATTGTGAAGTGCTCGTGGGTAGGTATATATTTATATGCTATAACGACATCCTCCATGTAATATTTGCGTCCGGATCCTCGCACCAGCATATTGTAATCATTGTATGTACATGTGTTATTATAACGTTGTTAGGTATTGTAATAGGTGTAAGCGGAGCCGGGACACACGTGCGTGGACGGACGCGTTTTCGGGGTGCGCGGGGACAAGAAAAACGTAGGTAACGATTTCTCTAGAAACTCAGGGCCGCCGCTGTAGACAGGCGGGAGGACGGCAACCGGTGAGGCGGTGCATGGTGAGGTAAGTTTTTACGGTGCGGAATTGGTGGAGTTGAGTAGGGTAAGTTTGCGATGGCGGCGGAGGAGTAGAAGTTGTATAGCGTAAGAACGGACGGGACGGGACGGCCGGTGTACGCGATACTACGTGCCGGCGTACGTCGAGCGGGCGGGCGGTGGATTCGCCTAGACGCCCGGCGGAGGGCGGCAGGGATCAGTTTGATTTGTACGCACGTAGTAAGGACCGTGTGGGCTGGCTGGCTGGCGGTTGCCGCCGCCGCCGTGCAAGGAGATGTTGATGAAGGGGCGGCGGGTAGATGCCGGCCGGAGTGGGGCCAAGGACGCAGCGCCCCGTAGCCCAGGTAGTTGGTGACCAGTTACCGATTACCACTCGGCTTTGCGCGCTACCTGTCTATGCGATTCGTAGACCCGACTGGCCGGCGCTATTTTAGATGGGGGCTCATCCGCTCATCCCCCAGAAAATGATCAAATCTATCCAGAATGATATTAGGTATATAGAAATTAGGTTGACAATAGCAATTTTTTATAGGAAAAACAAGGTTTTTTTAAATTTAACTATTAATAATGCAAGTAAGGAGACAACCAGCATCTAATCTGCCAAAACCATCCCCGTCCATTATTAAAAAAGGCAAACATAGACATATTATTAATACTGTTGCACAAACAAATTCATGAATACTTAACTTGACAAAAAGTAATAAAACTGAGAAACTATCAACGCATAACGTTAAAACAAAACAATAAAAAATTAACAATGTGCTAAATGTTATATAATACATTTTTTCAACAAACGAAAATTAATACATGTTGTCTATATAGTAGTATTAATACATGTTGACTTACGTTGTTTTCGCAGCAATTCCAATTTCTTATGATCGATATTTGTGTTAAATTTGAATTCGACAAAATGTAAAGCAAGTGTATAATATTATAAACTACGTAACTGCGTATAAAAGTATCAAATTTGACACAAACACAAACGACATAAATTACTTATGTCGTTTTTGAAATGACCTATTAAATAAGTCGTTAGATTACAATATGTAGGTACGCCAGACCACTCCGGTGTAATGTAACGTTGTAATGTATCTGTAATGCTCACACGTGTAATAAGTCATTACCGTGTACCATTAGCTCTAAGGGCTGTCGGTTTTTTGACGAACATAAACGCGTGTCACATTACAACGTAAATGCTCTAATGTGACCCACCTTTTAAAGATGATCCTTGGAGGACTTTGACCTTGGACCTTCATCATTATCCACGGATTTTTTTTTTTTTATATAAATTCAATTTATCTATTAATTATTATGCAATAACAATAAACTTGTTTTTCTCAACAAAAAAGTTAATTAAAACTAATTTAAAATTAGTTTAGTTCACGCCTAACCTGACCTAACCTCATCCGTAGGTCCATAATTGGGCATGGACTAATTGCATGTTACATATTAACATATCACATTCAGTAACACATTGATGTTATTGCAAAAACTCGTATCATTGTCAAAGTCCAACGGCCAACTAAATATACTAAACAAAATATGCTCTTTCTGAATAATTTACAAGCAAATAGGTAGTGTATTATACAGGACCCATAATAACATATTTTATATTGTATTGCTATTATATTATTATTAATTAATTACACAGTGTGATTTTAGCAGATCGCGATTGAAAAACTGTATTATTATAATAGAAATAATAGAGATGATTGTTGAATAATACATTAAGGCTACTATGTAATGATATACATAATATATATGTATAAGTTTATTATATTATACACGAGACGACATATATATATATATATATACGTTATACGGGCAAATCTATATATTATTGTGTAAAGGATTGGGACTCGGTGGTGTACACACAGTCGGACGACTATTTTTTTTATTCCCACGGGAAGAGGCAAACGCGAAGATGGTATAAATATATAGGTATAATATGTACCTATGTATAATATACCTGTGTAGATGAAGCAAGACGACGAGGGAGGGGGGGGAGGGGCAACGTTCCCTCGGGGCTTTTACGGCGAAACCAGCTCGTAGTAAGTACGTAGTATGTACATACATATATATATATACATACACGAGCCTGCACTTGTATATATACATTATGTATATACACCAAACAGGTATAATGTGTACCTGTATCTAATAAAATATATATATGTATACTTTTGTATGTACAACAACATGCGCATCACGGCCGAGGTCGATCTGCCGCCGCCGCCGACGGTTCTTTTCTTTTTCTTTCTTTTTTTATTGCGAGGGGTGAACGGGGAAGGCAATAAAGACGTCCAACCGATAGAACGGCGGTGTAGAGGGGAAGTTAGCCTTGGACAGAAAACCCCGGCAACAAGCTTAGTTAGATACCCCGTCGGGCGTTCGATTTTGGCGACAAACAATATATCATATGCCTATATATTATGCATTACCCCTAAAATGTATAACACAATATTATATCGCAGAGAGATAGAATATAATATTATATACTTATATTGTCGCGGTGTATATATTATGTAATATTTAAAACGATAATTCTTTTTTGAAATTTTATCATAAAAAAATTAGTATTTTTTAAATCTATTTTCCAATACTGAACACATAAGATGTATACATAAAAAAATATACAATATTAAATATGAGAGATATTTTGTTTTGCAATTTTTGTTTCGGTCCAAACAACTGAAGGCTAAATCTCAAACTCTATTGAGTGGCCAATATTAAAAGGTGGATACGATTAGGGTTGTCAATGCTAATTTGTTGCCTTCGTCAGTTGTTGTATACCAATCATCGTAATCAACAATAATAATATAATGATAAATAATATGTTTTTCGGATACCTGTTGCCCGTCCATTCATTTATACACACAGCAACGTGGATATATTTTAATACGGTCAACGTGTAATTTTTCTCTTTTTTTTTTGCTATTCTTTAATAAAAAAAAACTAGAAATGTTTGAGAAAATTGTACATGCCCCACTCTAGATCTACCATCAGTCTAGTTTTCAGACCTTAAGCCTAATTCCCAAAACTATATTTAAAAAAAAAAATTAAACCAGGAAAACATTTCCACCCCTCCTAGGAGAAAGGGTTATTGAAATTTGTGTTCGGTGTGTCAACGTAATATCGATATTAATATTTCTATAATATGTAAAAAATGTGCTGTTCAAATTAGACAATTTTTTTTGGGAGAGTGGAAGGGTGGACATTTTTTAAATTTGCCGCAACTAAGTACCATTCAAATAAGGTGTCTAATCTATAGAGTTGCTACATGAAGAAATCAGTTCAGCTGTTTAGAAGATATTGCACGAGTCCGGACACAAAAATAATATATATATATAAAAAAACACACGATTGTAAAAACAACAATTTACACCTTTTCAGCTCAGAAAAAATGTATCATTATAATAGTGTTGTTATTGTGGAAAAAGTGTTATGGTTTTAATCGACAAACGGTTTATAGGTGGAAATAAATTATCCTAAATGACGTAAAGTCTATAATAGAGGACGTGTCAAGTTAAAAAAATATTCTACGATATTACGTTGTAATATATGTGTTAAAACGTTAATATAGATATTAGTATTAAAAATTAAACAATAAGTTTATCTAATCTTAAGTACCTAGCTGCATGCATACTAATTATGTTGATTAAATCAGTTACTCAATTAATAATGACGAACGTTTTAAACATTTTTTGAAAATCTACTCTAAAAAAACAATATTATCCGTTTGTATTCAATAGATAAACATCTTACAAATAATGAACATAACAGGCCACTTGAAATTGACCTTTAACCACAACATAATAATATACTAGTGTTGTACATAAGACGTCCGAAATTCAGCTTGACGCTGTTCACAAACAACAAGATAAAGCAATCAAAGAAAACAATATCATAAAACGTTCAACAAATTTTATGCGATACTATAGGTACTTATATAATATACTATTATTTGAAATTTCCAATAAAACACGAACGTTAAACTCAATTAGTTTAAAAAAATATTTTTATTGGTTGACAACAAGAACAATTTCCAATCCGTACACAACAAAACAACAAAAAAAAAAAAAATGTATGGACGGGACAATGAGCGTAAAACAATGGGGCGAGCTTATACATATGTGTTTTTTCTTTTTGCTTTTTTTTTATATAAATAAAATGTTATATAAGTGAATAATCTAAATTAAAACCTATTTCGATAACGATAAAATATTAATATCACAAAACAACAGTTGTTAAGGTTATTTTTTCAGAATGTAAGTGCAAAGGCCACTGCATAAATAATTATTCATCTATATGATTATATTTTTCTCTGATGATTTTTCGGATTTATTTTTGGAAATACGAGACCGAATTTGGACTCTATTCCTTCCAGTATTGGTAACACAGCGAGATAACCTCCTATATGGTCTGGGTTTGTTGGTACAACTCCGTCGCCGGCGCCGTGTACAGTGACTAGATGTTTTGAACCCGATGGTCGCCTGCAAGCACAATGTTTTTTCATTTATATTTTTTTACTAAATTAAATACAAATGGGTGGATTATGTTTATTTATTTTACAAGGTTTCGTGTGTTCAGATTAGAATACATAAACATATACTTCATTCAGTTACACAGTTACAGTGACTAGAAAAATGTCTACTTTTACTTATTTAACCCTTAAGAAAAAAAATGTATATATTCTAATCAGAGCACACAAAAGCTTTTAAGATGGGCCGCTGTCAAAATGATAAAAACATATACTTACGAGCCACCGAAATCAACATAGAATAACCTCTGTAAAAGTTCATAAGATAAAAGCGTAACTCCAAATTGTGGTGAAGATCGAAATACGCGAGCTGAAATACAAGCATTGTAAATGTTTTTTTTTTTTTAATTCACACTATGCAGCGGTGTAGTAGTAATTGGGTACACCATTAAGACTACACAACTGTTTTTAAGGACAATGAAAACTGTTTAAACAATTTACCGGCCGTTCCTTTCCAGAACGCCCTGGGACCTTCTTCTTTGTAAATTTTCATCGCACAATCGATCAGTCCGTTGTAAGTAGTCTGGCCCTCTCTAGCCACAACCTGTAGACGAGTTTTTATAACATCTGCCGGCGTCACCAGAGAAGCAGCAGGAACTCCCGCAATACATCCGGCCGCTAACAATGACAGTGGATGGTTGTATCCTTTACTATCAGCAAATGAATGTTTCACGTGGTTGTACGCCGGGAAATAGATGGCACTGAACGGTACATCTCTAAGGAAGCACGCTTTAGCCCCCTAAAACCGTAATTGGCAAGCATGTAATGCATATTATGAAAATCCCATATGAATAATAGTATAGGATAAAAATTAAAAGTTAAACCTTTAAAGTACCTTGTATAAGCCAAAGAAGCCCAGTTCTTTGATAACGGTAAGTGCGCTGAGTTTCTTCGTCGATGCTATTTCACCGGCGACTTGCAGACGGATTTTGACGATTTCAAGTGGATTGGTAAAAATTACTTGCGAGAAGCCAGCCTAAAATTTAACACCACTATATGATTTCTCCACAAGACAATAGTATATATAATCGGTATACGGTAGGACAAAAAACTCAACTTACACAAGCACCAGCCACAATTTCTGCCGGTATAGACAAGTCACCGTTTTCTTGACGGAGCTTATCTCTGACTAAATCGTTAACTGTCAATTTTGCAGCTTTTTCAGGAGCCACGCCAATCAATTGGGGTAACAGTCCTCGATAGAGACCGAAAATTCCTTCATGCCTAATAACCTAAAACCAATAATTACATTGATACATAATTTCTTTAATAAAATATAATTTAACTGACCTTCTTAAAACAGTCAAAACTGTTTCTGTACATGAGTTCACCAATAAATGATCCGGCTCTTTGATTTTGCATTCTTGTCTTTACTAAGTCAATTGGATACACTGTAGTCGCCCCAATAGCTATACAAAAATAACACTATTAAGGTTTTATTCTAATTATCATTGGGTTATTCGTTGCCGCAATTATGTAATTTTCAAAAAAACATAAATAAAAATATTTTCTATATTTCTACTTAATTTTATCTCTTATATTTTGTTTTTATACTAGAATTTAATGTTTTTAGATCACGTAAGATAATTATTTTAAAAAACTTATCATTGGCCAATTACTGACTGAGGTAGCTGAGAATTTAGAGTTTCCCTTTTTGATGGTTATGTATCATAAAAGTCTGTTGTTTGGGGGCGATAATATCACAAGAGTGGGTTTTAATAACCGCTAACTGTTTCGTCAACAATCACTTGTTCTGCTTGTAACCCTGCGATGTCGAAATGATAGCCAGCTCGGTAACTATGCTCGATCAAACAAAAATGTCCAATCCAGGCAAGGAATTCAAGACATTATTCATCCCAACTACAAGGTAAATTTAATGATGCAATCGTACTGAATATAAGAATTATTATTCTAAAAGTTGCTTCTAATAAGGTAAAACAAGTTGCCAATGACAATTTGGCTCTTATAAGAGTAATACTATTTATCTTTAATGTTGCTATTGGTGTAATACACTTCTTGGAGACAGACGGCTCACTCGTTTGTGAAGGCGACATATTACCACAAAGAGGAGCAATTTTAAATGATAAAATGTCAAATCGTAGGTGAACTTTACGGAATAGCTCACCAAGTGTACAATGAAACAAAACAGAAATTCAAATGACAAGACTTGTGGCGCTACTGGTATGACTCACACATACATGTTTGTACATCCACATTTAGACTGGATACATAGTTATGTGTCTAGTGTACCTAAAATGTCACCGTCTTGCATTCGAGACTGTAATATTACCTCCTGATATGGATCCTAGAGTAAACCGATAAACACTTTCTAACACTTGAATAAAAACTCCTCTATCGGATGGACTCTAAAAAAACCAAAAACAAAAATTAAAAAAATTGCACTTTGTCACGGTTAACACCCTAAAGTGTACGTACAGATACTGTGTGAATTTCGGCTATTCTACGATTGTGTATTTCTTTGTAATATTGTTCTGGTGTAAGAGCCTTCAAATCATTGTAAACTATTTTACTATAATATATGAAATACATATATATTAACAAAACATATGCATAATTATTTATGTGGCCTAGTTGTAGGAGTATGCACAGTGTATACCCTACGACTACACCACTGATAATTGATAAATTACCCAGGCCTTTGGTATAATAAATGACACAAGGTAAACAATATGTCAACTTCTAAAGGTGTAATTTGAGACATCACTTGAGCAGAATACAAAAACTCGTCTATAAAATAAACATGTTAAAAAAACAATTGGATGTATAATAGTAAAATCCCTTCTTCTCTCAATCAAAATACCTTTAGTTACTTCTCGAGTTCGACTTTCATTGCTAGCATTTAAATATATCCGTTTCACTAGTTCCATATTGTTTAGAAGTGAAACAAAAGCCATAAAATATGGAAAACTCACACGATTCATGCCTTGACCTCCTCCGGCAACCTGAAAAAATGCAAAAAGTTAACTTTGTATAGTCAAAATATTAATAATATTAAAAGCATTTTATTTAAAAAAAGAAATATTACGGCTAATAAATTGTCTCGAACGCTGTTTGTTAACAAATGGCTTTTGGACAGTAACATAATATCATGAAAATCATTTGCTGAAATAAATCCTGTTCCGCCTTTGTCATAAATACGGAAAATTTCCGTCCCACATTCTTCGTGAAAATCCTAAACAAAAAATATCACGTGTAACATTCCAAAATTGTACCATGCATAAAGTTAATTGGTAAAATTACATGTAAAAATTGGGCAAATTCTGAATAATTAATAAGGCGATTTTTTTTCTCTCCGAAATACAGTTTCATAAATTGGCTATCCAAATTAAAAGGCATTTTCAAATAAAGGTCCGTTTTTTTAACCACTGCCACAAATTCATCTAAAAAAAAAAACAAAAAAAACGTTATAGCTGGAATCACATTGTTTTTGATAAATATTAACTGAAGTACCATATGAGATAACTCCATTGCCATTAATATCAAACAACTGAAATGCGACTTTGTACAAAGCATCTGGTTCGGACAACAGACTTTCAAACGTTTGAAATTCTGCAAATGATATAAGCCTAAATAGACAAAAATTTACTAGGTATAAGTAAATATATATACTTTGTAGTTTGATTTATTGCTATAAATTCAATAAAAAAAAATTCTATTTTTATTGTTTTGATAATGTTAGTTGAAATAAATTGCGTTATCATTTTCTTTACGAGTTAAATTAATCCAATGTAATTTTTTTTTTTATTTACACATTTTCTTTTACATCTTCACCGGGTCTAAAATTTTAACTATATTGTATGGTTATAGATATTATAAAACTCATAATTAAATAAATAGTACATGCTCTTAAGCAAAATAAACTATGTATTGATTGCACTTTAGATACTAACCCATCTTTACTAGTGTCGACAATTCCGCTTAACAACTTTAACGAATCAAAATCACTAGACGGTGTGTTTAAAATCCCCAAATAATTTTTTATGAAATCAACAGCATTGATATATTTTTCCCCTTGCTTTTCTATGGTGGCATACTGAAAAATTTAAAACATGGGTTTTAGGATGTCTATATATATGATAGGAAATGATTATCGTTAGTATCGCCGAGAACTTACTTTGTTGAACACCTCTGACAATTGTTCTGTGGTCGCTCGCTTCGGAAAGTCGTTGGAAGCCTGCATTTTAAAATGATAAAAAAAAAAGAATTAGTCGAATTAGTCACAATCACAACTTTCACAGTGTTTCGAAATGGCAGAATTATGACAATACTAATAAGTAATGATCAATTGGCCAAGCAAATTTTTTACGAATTGACCAATAGAGAAATGGCGATTGACTTTTTGGTTTTTTTTTTTTAAAGGCAATAATTCAAAGTGGCCGTGAATCACTCGTACACAGCGCGATCGTTATTCAGAAAATATTTAAAAATACATCGTCCTCTACAACGTGGTGTGATTGTAGCTGTTTACCTCTTGACAGTAAGCTGGTTTCGGCCAAAATCCCCATGTCGAATCCAACATCCCGGTAAGCATTTATCATGTAGACTAATGAAACGATCAAACGAACGCCCGTTATTAACGTTGGAGGTACAAGGCCGGTACTAATTGTGAAAATCGATTTTTTAAACTGCAGCGAAATACTACAGCGAGCGTGAAATTAATGACAAAACGCCGAGCCAAAGATAAGAATTAAGAGGCGAGGCGGCGGTGGCTGATAATAACGGACATGCGCACTGAACTTTTGGCCGTCCAAAATCGATAACCGACCAATAGGTCAAGATTAGAAATTCTTATCAGTCAAATCTGATTGGGAACGTTTTCGTCCAAGGTTTATAGATAATACTATCTACTCGTATGCGTCGTTATCAATTACTGTTCACACGACACGATAACAAACAATCGATTGGGATTGAGTTCAAAACGTATTTGGAGTTTGCAATTTTTTTTTTCTATTTCAGCTACCTTCACAACGATAATACACAATATATATAACTACGGTTGGATTGTCGTCGCATAAAATAACGAAATGTAAACCGCAATGAATCGGCAGAGTAGCGAGTTATGCCATTATAATTACTGAATACATTCGCATCGCAGTAACTAGGTATAAGTAAAAAAAAAAACAGGTAAAATTATTAAAACTTAATACCAAATAACTAGCGACAATAATATAAACAACTTTCCAATTAGAAATACAATATATTATGTCTATATATATGAGCCTTTAATGTGATTGTACGATAGTTCACACTAACGTTGGGTTCAATGAATTTTTGTGACAACTAATTCAATAGATGGTTATATTCTTGTATAAATCTTATCTTATCTTAGACAAATAAGTTCTTATAAATGACAATCGGATAAGAACTTGTCCTTGAGAGAGTTATTTGGCCTAACTGAATTTTTGCTGGAAACTCATTACCATTTCCAAGAAAGAGACTGGCAAAAAAACAATTAATCTTAATTTTAAAAGAATTTATTTGTTATCTCCCAAATTCCAATAAATTGTATAATGATGAACAATGTATATTTTAATGTATTAATTATCAAACCTAATAATTATTATAGTACTCCTGAACCTGGAAGCCTGTAATACAATTATAAGTATATTTAATAACCATTATTGAGTACCTGTTTCAATTATATCAATTGAAGATAAATTAAAAAAACAAAACAATACTAACTTAAACTGAAATACGTGTATAATATTTCAGTTAGCTTTGTTAAACTATAAAAAGATTTATAGTATTATTTTTTTATCTTTTAATTACATTTACCATTTTAACTTTAACAAATTGTTATAAAATGATAGTATTTTCCATCATATACATGACATATTTAATACATTATAATTGTTTTTTCCCATTCAAATTTAATCAAATAAATAATACCTTATCGCTAAACAAATATTTAATGAATAAAGTAATTGTTTGTATTATACATTGCCAAAAGATAATTTTATTAATAGAAAACTATTTATAGAACACAATTTAATGTGCTATATTATAAAGAATACATAATAGCTCCTTTTAATTTAACATTTTGTTTTACCAAATGTTTACGTGTTGTGGTACTCTTATATGGCTTATAAAATATACTTTGAACAATTAGTAAAATATTGTACTGCTATTTTACTATTGACATGTTTGTAAAAAAAAAAAAATTATTAAATATTCAAAAAATTATAGTGTCTGTCGTCTGATAATAGTATATGTATCATTAGGTTGGGCTAACCCTGCCTCTCTCTCCAACCCTGTCACTTTAGATTAAAAAAAACTTAATTTACGTTTTATTTTTATTTAAACATATTTTTTTTTTTAGATATGTTACTAACAAAGTTGCGTCCACTTTTGAGTTCTGGATTACGTTATAGACAATGCTTGATGAAAACAGAGACATACAATATGTTAGCTGTTGCTGGATGTAACAACTATCGCTCATATAAAAACTTCGCTCATAAAAAAGACCCTCCGGATCCACCTTTCAAAAGATATTATATTTTATTTTTTATGTGTTTCGGTGTTTATCATTTTATCAATTGGGAATAGTAAGTTAATATTGTGGACTTTCAATAGATCGTTTTTTCCTCAATATAACCTTGATTGTTAAACAAATTATTATTTGTCATTTTTGCTGTTAACGTTTATTATAACCGATCAATAACAGTTTTTAATACAAAGTTAAAATTATAATTTTAAAGAGTAGTTTTGGATGTTAAATTACATATCAAAAAACAACTTGCATTTAAGATTTTCCTATTAATAGCAGAATGATATAATACAAATAATAACTGACTGATAATCAGTTTTGAATCAACCCTTTTTGAGTTATTACAATTTAATGTTATAGGTGAGTATTGCAGTGCAGATGAATAGAATACACAGATAAAAGTAACATTTAAATATATTCTTCTCCAATCTATATCATTAAATGCAATTAACTCAAAAAGTATTCATTAAAAACTGGTTATTTGAACATTATTTTCAACATTTTTATATTTAAAATTTTTTTTTTTTTCTAGTATTCTTGAAAAGATTTTTCCTCCTGTGGACGCTGACAGTAATGTAGAGTCTCCTGAAAATCCAATAGAAGATGATGACATTTTGGACGAGGCAGTTGATAAAAAAAAGAAAAAGCCTAAAGTAAAAATTGGCTTCCGTGACCGAAAGGTAGTACTAACAAACCCCATTACTTATAATCGAGTTTTTTTAAATATGGAATGTGTGTAAATAAACCTTATAAAATCCATATTTTTTGGTAAATACTAAACAAGTGTTGGGCTGAAACAAAATAACCTGGTGGGTTTTTTTTTCGACATCTCCGATTTACTATAAAATAAAATACAACATGGCTGTTAATACGGCAATACTCCATCCATTTTAAACTCCATCGCTGGCCGTTTCTCTCTCTGGACAGGCGAATGTCTAGAAACAGAAATAGCCATCCACTGATGTGAAAGGCAAAGGAAACCGACCGAAACTAAATATCTTCCCCAGGAAACAGTATTAATGTCTAACAAGAGTTGTCAAACCAACAGTTGTCCAGTCAACCAACTAACAAACAGTTGTAAATTAAACATAAAAATAATACAAATTTTAACCATTTTTTAGATTATTGAATATGAAAACAGAATTCGTCACTTTTCAACACCAGATAAAGTATTCAGATATTTTGCTACTCTACAAGCAACACATGTGCATTCGAACGGACAAGAGTCTCACGAAGTATACATGACTCCCGATGACTTTTTAAGATCTATGACACCAGGAATCAAGCAGCCAGACGGTCTTGGTCTAGACCAATACAAAAAATTTGATCCAAAAGTAATATTATAATTCATTCATTTTTAAATAAAATACATTTGACCCTCCAATTTTTTTTTACAGAACCCACATATGAAACTGCAATTGGCATTAAACGAAGATAGCATTTTTTATAAGCTAGGAAGCTCGGGCCTAATAACTTTTTCAGACTACATATTTCTGTTAACTGTTTTATCCAGTAAGTAAAATACTTCTACTTGAAATTTATAACTTAATAGATATTTTCTTTTGGTCAAGTAGCTTTTTAAAACGGTATAACCGACTAAGTGAACACTTATTTTTTATAAAATTATATACGTAAAAACCTATTTGATAAAACATTATTATAGAATTGTTATTATTATTGAACTAAGCTAGGCAACACTATTAAATTTAACCATATTATGTACTTGATGGGTTAGGTTTTATTTTTTATCATGTTTAAAAATAAAGAACACAAACAAATTTAAAACAACAATTTGTCATTTTTAAAAATCGACTTGCCTGAGTTTTTTACCCTGTACCCTTCATTTTAAAGTGATAAAACTATTACAAAATAAATAATGTATTTTAAATACTTAAAAAAAACTTTTTCATTTATGTATTAGCATCCAGAAGGCATTTTGAAATAGCATTTAGAATGTTTGATTTGAATGGGGACGGTGACGTTGATTGCGAGGAATTTCAAAAAGTTGCCACACTTATACGACACCAAACAAGTATTGGAACACGTCATCGCGACCACGCAAATACTGGCAACACATTTAAAGTAAATAATATTATAATAAAAGTGTATTATTATTTTTAAATGTCAACTTATATAATTAATTTCTTTAGGGTGTCAATTCAGCTTTAACTACTTATTTCTTTAGCCATAGTCTCGAAGAAAAACTTACTATTGAAAAATTCCTTGAATTCCAACAACAATTACAAAATGAAATTCTTGATTTAGAGGTGAGTAGGAACGATTGCAATAATTCCTAAAATATATCCATATTATTTACAAGTACAATTTAGACATTGTCTTGAATGTAGTTTCAGCGTAAAGGACCTAGCAACGACGGTACTATAACGGAAGTAGAATTTACCGATCTTTTGTTGGCATATGCCGGATATCCTCCAAAAAAGAAGTCGCGTTTGATCAAACGAGTGAAAAAAGCGTATGTGTTGTTAAAATGTTATACTGATGTCGGATTTCCATTATATAACATAATGTATAAATAATATAAATATTGTTTGCTATTATAGATTTAAAGACAACGCTAAAGGTATAAGTAAAGAAGATTACATAAAATTCTTTCATTTTTTAAACAACATTAACGACGTAGACACAGCACTAACATTTTATCATATTGCTGGAGCATCTATTGATCAAGGTTGGTTAAATCATATTTAATACAAAAATACAACTACACTTATTAATTTGTTAAATTTTTTATTAAAAAAAATTGTATTCGTGTATAGGAACACTTAAGCATGTCGCAAAAACTGTGGCTCATGTCGATCTAGAAGATCATGTGATTAACGTAATATTTACGATATTTGATGAAAACCGTAAGTTTTACACTTAGGAAAAAAAATTTAATAAATTAATTTAAAAAAAAAAACACTATTTCAGTCGATGGCCAACTAAGCAACCGTGAATTTGTAGCAGTTATGAAAAACCGTTTACTGAGAGGTTTGGAAAAACCTAAAGATACTGGCTTTGTTAAGTTTATTGAGTCTGTAGGAAAATGTGCAAAAGAGAGTGTTCCCAACATTTTAAATGTATAAACCAGTTTTCTCAAGCATAATAGTTGTTATTTGTTAAGTTAATATTACATTATTTTTTTCTCTAAACATTACCAATTGTTTAAAACATAATTTATTATAATAAATTTAATCAAACATGTCCTGTTTCTTTGATCATACAATGTGCTTGTTTCTCTAGACTAATATCTAAATAAGGCTGATGAGTCCAACAGGAAAGGTAAAACAACAAAACATCAGGATCCGTACAATCTGCTATTCTAAGAAGCAGACTTTGATGGAGCTTTAGCTCTTGTTGATATGCTTCTACAATAGCTCTAGTAATTTTACCTTAAAAACAAATCAATTTAATGATTAAATAATAAAAAAATATTTTGTTATTTTAACACTTACAAAAGTGTTCTGTTGTCCAAGATATAAACAATGGCGCTGAACTAGATTTTTCTAAAGCTGATACAGCGGTGAGATTTTTAAGCTTCGTTTGGAAACCTTCAACGATTTCTGCCTACATTTCGAGAAAAACAATTATTATTTATCACTTAAACCTAAGTAATGGTGCATTCACTGACGTGAGCCTGAACATATGTAAACATTGCAATTTGAGTTTAGAATAATCGCGAGTGCTCAGGAAACATTCTGCTCGCCGTTTAAACTACCTCGTACACACTTGGTGGAGAGCATTCAGGCTTGTATTTTAATGCACCATAAGATACCAAAATTGAAATAATAATTTTATTATTTACCATTTGCTCACATAATTGTTTAAGTTCACTGACATAACCGCTTAATCGATCCGGGAACTTGACATTTGGCCTAAAAGTCATAAACATAATATGTTTATTAGTAATTAATGTACCAATTGATCAATAGAGTTATTTTCACTTTTTCAAATCACTCACAGTTCTAAGCGCATATTGAAAATATTTGAAATAACTACACAGCCTTTATCCTGGTGATGTTTCCAATTTTGCATTCCATTGAATATGTCTGCTGCAGTATCTTTCAGTATACGCCGATTGCCTGTCAAATTTCCACTGTGGCCTTGGGCGGGTCGTCCAGCATAAATATTAACTTCTATAAAATGTAAGATAATATTGCTGTTTAATATATTTTTATTAAACTATATTGTTTTATATCAGGCTAATGCCTCAATAAATTAACATATTTGACCAAATCACACGGTTATAAAAAAATGTTTCGCTTACCGTGTGCGGGAGACGATTTCCCGACAAGGGGATTCAATCTATTATTTCTTGGCGTCTCCGCCATTGAATCGGATTTTTATAGTTGTAATTTTTAAACTAATAGATACAATAAAAAGTGCAGAGTAAAATTAAAAAAAAAACTATTATTATTATTATTATTATTCTATTATTACACGAATAATTATGATTTTGACAAATGATTTCAACTTGTTAACCGTGATTACCGTGACTCGAATACATTTTCTAGTCTCAAAATGTTATAAGCGACGGCCGACGAGTTAATTAGTTCAAATTTTGTTTATTTTGTATTTCACCAAATCCAACGTTTATAAAGATTACACAATGTGATAAATGATAATAAATATGACAGAATTGACATTGTGGCGGGCCACGGGAATTTAATGGTAAATTGAAATTTTGAGGGTGTAAAAATATTTTCAAACGCCATTTTATGTTGGATCCACCAGAGCTCAAACATAAATAAACACTATATTTTATATAATGGGAAATATGCTATAACATATTATGTATTATTAGTCGTATGTCTTAAATTTTGTCTTTTAAAAAACATCATCAAAAAAAGCAAATGATTATAGGCCATTAATTCAAATTAATTGTTTTGGCACTATGTTTGAATTAATTTCGCATCATTCAGATTGAACAACTATTCAATTGGGAATGAGTAAATCTACCTTCGAATCTTTAGGGTACTGTACATGTGGAGCTCAAAATGTTATACAGTTTGTTTATTAATCATGCCATAATTTTAACTAATATAAGTTAAATAAAATACTATTTGTAAAAAAGTATAATTTTATTTTACATTACAGAGTACATATTTTTCATCAGGTTCTGCACAACAATCGTATTTATTAAATTCGTTATTAAATACAAATTTGTCATTTGATCCAAATTCCGATTTAAAAGAATTTTCCTTTGATCATCACTTAAATAAATATAGTGGTGAGTATTCCTAAGTAGTATTTTCAAATATATTTACAAAAGCTAGTAGCTTGACCCTTTGAACTTTTTACAGAAACAATTCTATTAGAAAAAACAACATACTTCGCATTATCAGTTATCACATTTTTTATCACGTGTGTCGCTGCGTTTTATTATCGATACATTCTTCGATAATTTACAAGATGGAAGTATGCAAAATTGTCACGCAAATTATTATAGTATTTTTTAAATACTTCTAAGAATAATTAATGGTCTATTTTAATTAAGATTTTTTTGTACATAATAAAAATACATTTAAAATTTAAATTGAATGTATAATTATTTAATAATAATAGATTAAATAATGTATCGATAATCGATATTTTCACAATAATTGCCATATTATTGCTTATATTTTGAGGTTATGTTTTTATTTACACATATTTATACGTTCTCGACCTGTATACATTAAAATTTTACAAACTGATAAGTCTGTTTAAAAACATTAAAATTAAAATGTTAATACCTATTTATTTTTAACTATTCGATTATTGCCATTCAATAGTCAATTATTATTGCGTACGTTGTTGTTTTAAAATAAGTGACCGGTAATCTAATTTCAGTGTTTTTCTTTTTTGTCGAAAAATTCATCATTTTTTATTTTTGTAAAAATGACGTCTTGTATGGCTGTGAGCGAAAATTCCATTGTAGTTTCTTCTATTGATGGTGATAAATGTTATGTGTATTCATTGACTTCAAGTGAAGTAAAAAACTTGACCGAACATTTGGGCGAAGCGTACAATCATTTGCAATCCAATAACCGCGATTTGCAAAAGGCTTGCGCGGCGTTCTCTAGCCATGAAAAACTGTTTGCATACAATCCAAACAAGGGGAAATTGTTGAGCATTTGGAATGCGACAAGTTGGTCTCTGGTTGAAAACAAAACATTAGCAAAACACGCTACGAAAATTGTATTCACACCCAAAACGCATGTAATCGTTGTTGGCGATAAAAAAGGAGATGTCTACGCTTTTGAAGAACAACCTGTTCGTTTACTCGGACATTCTTCGATGGTGCTGGATATTTGTTTCAGTGCTGATGAAAAATACATAATTACATGCGACAGCGATGAAAAAGTACGAGTGTCACACTATCCAAATGGAAAAAATATTTTATACTACATGATGGGACACGAGGCCTACGTTAGCGGGTTGTGTTCGTTAAATAATTTTATTTTATCCGGTTCTGGAGACGGCTCACTGCGTTTATGGGATCTGAAAAACGGTGACCTTCTGGACAAGTTAAGCCTAGAAATGCCTGTTCGCAGTGTTGTCAGTGTTGGCAATACGGCCGCTGTTCAGTTTTACAACTCCAAAGATGTACACATAATTAAAACAGATAAAAAAGAAAGTTCCATCTCTATCAAAAGTGTAAAAGTACTTGACTTCGATAGCCCCGTGTTAGATATTGCATCTTACTGTAATCAATTATGGATTATTTCTGGGAATTCGGTTCATCATTACTCCGTTGACTCCAATAATGAAATTGTCACTGTTACTGAGAATACAAGGCTAAAGAATGCAGTTGAAGCAATAGAAAACTTAGTAACATCTTTTATGCGTTTAGAGAATACAGATTTAATGAATTTTTTATACAAGAAAATGGTCGATAAACAAAAGCGAGCCGAACAATGTCTTCATAATGTTGCTCCATTGTTACATCTTGCAAAAAGAATTAAGCAAGCTTGAAAAACAAAATTTCATGTTAACTATTTATAATAAGATTAAATTGTATTGTTTTCGTTATGATATTTGTATGCTGTTTAATTTTTTTAATTATGTGATTTACACCTTAAATACTATGTATAAATAATATATTTAAGTCCTAATAGTTTTGTATTTTCTATTTACTTAATTATTATCTTCACAGTTTTCCTTGTGTAAAGTAACTTTAAAATAACAGCTGTGACTTTATTGTTGTTTTATGACAAAGTAGCTGGAATAGATAAATTACTATTATAAAATACATTTATTTTATATAGAACCTTTGCATTCTTCAAATAAAAAAAAAGAATAAAGGCAATGTTGTATTTATAAGTTATAACTATTTGAATTTTTCCTCAAAAAAAAAAAAATAGTAAAACTAGTAGAAATTGCAAAGTGAAATCAAGACACAATGAGATATAACTGTTAAAAAAAGCAAAAAATCTCCGTGGTACGAGGTAAGTATGACCAATTTCATTTTTTCACATTTCACTCATAAGTATGAGATTTGACAAAAAAATATAATTTCATTTTTAATTATCTAATGTATCTTCAAGTTACATTAGATACTAACTTGCTTACAATAACTATTTAAAATTTTAGGAAAACCAATTTCTGATAAAAATGTGCAAATATACATAATGAAACTTGATAATATTAAATCGTTATTTATATTTATAGCAGAAAAACAACAGTAGGTAGCTATAATAGTATAAAACACACCAATTTTTAAGTACGAAATACACCACGAGTTAAATTTATTATCTAAATTTATTTAGTAGGTACAATTTATAGTTTGGATTAATATATTGTGTTCCTATATGAACTATAATTATAGTAGATACTAGATCCGACTGTATATTTTTAGGAAGTAGGACTATAACATATTATCTAAAAACAAACTTATTAATGTAAAATTTCTAAATTAAAAGTTATTATTATATTTATTGTACGTACGTTAATCTAATTTAATGTAACAATCCAATGGCCTTTGCTGCCCAAGGTTTTTTATTCAACAAAATAAATAATAATAATAATTGTTCGTCAACAATATACAACTGTTGTGTACTCATTTTGATTCGATAACAATACCTAATTAAGGATGGACACTTTCCTAGAGAAAAGTCAATTTTTTCTAGGTATGTATTTCTTACCTCATCTAACCCAGGAGAAAATGTCTGGGGAAAGTTAACTTTTCCGTGTAAGTGCCCATCCCTAATGGCCAATCACAATAGGTCATTTTAAACAGATGCGCTATACTTAATCCTCTTCATTCTATCTCTCTGCCCTCCCTCCCTCTACCCTCTCTGACTCTCTCTCTCTCTAATGTATGTAGGTATATATAATAAAATATTAGTCGAAGAACGCGCGGTATTAATTTTCGATGGGTAGAGTTTCTATGTATACCTAGGTATCGCCTGTTAAATACAATTTACAAAAAACAGGTGAAGGACTTGTATTTTGATATTACACACATTGTTCAAAAAGGGGTAGACACACACGAGTGCGACAATATTGGATGATACGAGTGTGTATGTACATACAAGCCGTCAAGTGCGGGCAGAGGGCTAACGTTTTTTTATTTTTTTATTACAGAAATGGAGGGTCCGAATGAGCGCCCTTTGATCTGTATACACAAGTTTATACTCGGGCCACGGTGGTATAGCAGCAGCAGCAGCTTTGCAACCCCTCGAACGAGATATTGAAGTTAATAGATTACGCGCCGGTCCGCGATGCCCATATAATATAACGCGGGCCGCCCCTTTATATAATAATATGTACTTGTCGGCCTGTTTAGAGTTGTAATAAAAATTCTTCCAAGAGGGCGGTTCAACAGCGAATTTCTCGCGTCGGTCCCCGGCCGTCACTTCCCGGTCGACCCTATCGCGCACCGTGTCTCTCTTTGCCGTTCCCCGTTTAATATATATTAATAATATAACCTCGCGCAGTGTCCCGTGTCTACTGCACTGTATAATATGCGTTTATATAATAGGTGTAGGTACAATATATTGAAACCCATCGACCGTCGTCATTGGGTCTATATTAAACGTCCACACACACACTATCCGGTCGCTCTTCGACATCAACCACCTTGCGCGTGTCACGTGTGCCTAATATGCATGTGCATATTATTACTGTTGTGTATTGTATGTGTGCAATACGATCACTAATATAATATACATATAAATATGGTCATAGTATATATCATGTATGCTCAAACGCTGTATCTGTATTGATAATTATCATTACACGTGTTCTTCCCGACACACTTGTTAAGAACAATAGGCGCGACGATAACATACGCGCCCTTTGTTCACGGGCGTGTACAAAAGTTTTACCGTCTAAAAAGTCACTGATATATTATATACATAGATGATTCCTCGGTAAAATAATATGTTTATCAACGCGTCGATAATTTAGTATGAAATCCCACGGAAACAATAATTGTGAAACGACTTGACCAATGGCGCAATTTCAGAGGGGTGCTAACTGCTATGTATTTTCAAAACTCTGCAAATTTGAATTAGTAATATAATTTGGTCATAATCGATAAATTTCCCACCAGAAGAATAAAATTTCAACTTTTTTAAAATATATTTATCTTTATACAAACCCGAGACACGTCGTTGTAATAATTGTAATACATTTTAAAAATAGTTATACTTCAATTATTGAGTTTCAATATAAACTTAATTTGATTGGTGTTGACGCAAAATATAGCAATAATATTTAATGTGTCTTTATTAAAACTATGTAAACAATAAGCAAGTAATAAACACTGCGTCTTAAACTTATACGAAAAACATCAACAACAGTAAACAAGCAATTCCTCGGAAGGAAGAAGAAATTAATTTCTCAAAACGTTTCGGAATTCGGCTAAACGCGAGCCGAAGGTAAACGAAAATATTTCATTTATCATTCTCTTTCTCTTCGAGTCTTGTTTTTTAGTCGAAACATACTTCACTGGAAATAAATCCTAAAAATGTTCATTATTCGCGAAATGAAATATTATGTATTTTTACTTTATTACGATTTGGGTTTTGTTCTTTATTAACATTCTTATTTTCGAAAATAATAAACCGAATATAAAACGGGAGCAGTTCAAAAAACTTACCTACTGTTAGCTGTTGTCGCACAATCTGGAGTATATTTAATACAGTTATTGTTTCTTATAAAAAAAAAATTAAATAAAACCTCTAAATAATTAAAACGACATTTTTCTCGACTTATAAATCTTATAGCCCAATAAAAAAACAAAATATAATAGGTAGCCGCTAGCCACCATATTAAGCCGTCAGAATATGTTTTTTCCCTACCAACTCGTAGTAATTTTTTTTGGTTTTTTAATGTTATTTATTTCGATTTTCATTTCTTTCGTTACGTTACAAAATTTCACATGGTTTCGACATGTGCTGTTCGTCGAAACCCTTATAAATTATAATTGAGAAATGAGAAACAAGAGGAAAAAAATAATAATCAAACAACGTGGTAAATTATTGGCATGACTTGTTACCGTGTAAGATACTATTATTATACACATTAGAACTAAATATGTTGCTTTAGCGTGAAACGGTCGTGTGTAGATTTTATCCGGAGACAACGTGGCAACAAGAGAGAGTATAAGTAAGATAAAGAAGAAAAATCAAATAATAAAAAAAAAACCGAGAGAGATGTCCGTCGTAGTGGATTTATTGAACCGATTTGCATTAAGGAGAGTCAGCGGCGGCAAAGTGACAAGCCCCGGCAACAGTGTCGGATAATTTCCTACGGTCTTCCGTGTGTCATTGTCATCTCCCGGGTCCTTAAAATTCATTATTAAAAAAAATAAAAAAGTTAAAAAACACCGTCTCCATTGAACGACGATGGCCCGTTCAATGTGCAGCGTAGCGCGTTTTAATTTCAATATGACTGCGACAAAAGGGACTGCTAACCGTTTGACAAACGACTTGGTCGGTGATTTTTTATTTATTATTATTAATCGTTTGTGGACTTTGGGGGTCAAGTGCGGCGCGGTCGAGCCGAGCAGCTGTTTTATATTATATATATATTTTTCATGCCCCATCGGCGGCGTACACGGTATAATAATATTATACAAGTAAACCGTGTAATCCAATACACAATGTAATATAAAATCAAATAAAACACATCCGCGCACACACACACACACCGTATAAATGATTATCGCGCACGTCACATGATGCAGAAACTATTTATGTTTGGTGTTGTATAAAAAATAGACAAGTGCGAGTCGGCCTAGCACCGTGCAGAATTATTTGTCTTTGCCGATATTGGTATAATATAATAAATACAATGCTGGCAAATGTAATGTTCCAGTACGGAATAGAAAAACTTAAATTACTCGAGTTACCAGTGGAAAAAATAAATACTTATTTAACGTTGTCAGTAGTCACAAAGCGAAATAACAATTTTAAGAACGCAAATTCTAGTGCAGAAAATGCACTTGTCCCTAAACATTTAAGTGCACCCGGGTCAATTTATTTATTGAGGAAGAAATACAGTCGTACTTTTATGTGTAAGATTAGCTACTCCTTTAACAACATAGTTTAGCACCCAACGCGTTTAATTTGTGAACATTTCTCACGTAACACAAAATGTAACACTATGCTGAGTTGGATCTATTTATTAAAATATAGAGTACATTAGATTATGACAAATGTGTAATTTATATTGTTTTCTTTGGCGTAGGCCTTGGACCCAGCTTCTGTCGGTCAGCACAGTCTCTCTATTTTCTACAACCCGAATCTTGTCTTGGGCCCAAAAGCCTTTGAACCCAAAGGTCCTCTTTTCTGGGACAAGTGCACGCGTTCTGAACACTTATTTATGAACTGCCCGAGCAAAGTGTATACTGTACCTATATATAATATTACACATTACTTGGCTGCTACAAAATGGACCCTAGCAAAGAGATACACACTAGGAATTCGTTTGTATATAATGTATAGTACTTGTTTTATTATTTTTTCGTTTAAAATACTCGATTACGCGCTTTTCAGCAAGCCGGGGGTGCGGCAAAAGCGTAAGGCAAGAATTTTAATTAAGACGAACGCCGGCTCGTGGAATCCTCTACAGGGAGTATCAGCCGTGGTGAAGCGCGAGTTACCATAGTATAGGAGTATATATTATAATATTATACATGTACAGTGCAGCGAACGAAAGCGTAGCATACAAAAGAAAGGAGACG